GTGGTAATGATAGTGGTGGTAGTAGTCGTGGTGTAGTAGTAGTGAGTAGAAGAAGGAGTCGTTGTTAGTCGTCGTAGCAATCGGGGGGTCTTCTGGTGGGTGAGGCGGGCGGGGGCAATTGGCATGCATCAGACATGAGGCATCACCCCTATCTCACACCCGGTCGCCGCTTCCCCTCTAACAGGACTCCCTCCCACGAAAGTAGATGCGAGATTTTGGTCCAAGAATGCACGATTGTTCTTCAACATCGGGAAATGCTTCGGACTGCATGCTGATCCTGGGAGGAGCAACACGGTTGCGAACCAGGAGAGGCACTGCAGGGCTATCAAGGCAAGAAGGCCCGCTGCTGCGACCGTTTGCCAACTGCTTCTGATCTTGTCAACTCTCGATCTTGACGACTTACTTTCGGTGCCGAGAAATGCTAGCATTTCTGATTGTTGCCAAGAATGAGATCAGTGTTCAAGATGTCACTGAGGGTATGAGTTGGATGGGGAACATAGACTCAGATTCTGGAATCATCATAGCCGGTATTGGCTGTGGCAAAAGAGACCAGCGCATGCGCAGGCTTCCCGGAGTCGCCAACCAACGATGGAGAGAGCGGACAGGCGTCGTTCGCAAACATTCAAAAGTATTACCATCCCCGAGGAGGTTCTGCAGGTTGCTGATGGCAGCTCTCCTGACTCCCCAACGAACCACGAGGAAGAGTATGGAGAGCCGCAGCCTCAGTATCCTTGGCCTGGACCCACAATTCAGATTCGACAAGTGATGGTTTCGGCCTTTCGGCTCTCAGACTTCCAAATCTGCGTTTCCTGCGTTTACATTCTTACTATGCTGCTTGTTCTTAGTTGTGTTCAGGGTGTTTTTGGTTATCCAAATCATGCACTTCTGCCCCAAAGTTGAAAATTTCTAGACTCCTTGGCCGCTACATGTTGTTCGTTTTCCTTTCTACTCTCATTGCTTCACGAAGGAGCTTTCTGGTCATGACCCGAGCTGGATGGATTCTAGACAGGTCCGAACAGTCGGCGCATCTTCCGTCCACATTTCGTCCCTAGTCCCTAGGCATTGCGTTGTCGTTGTCAAATTGTGCGAATGGGTTCGTCTGATGCGACATTGTTTTGACGGGTGCATAAGGCGGCTCAAGCGAACTGATTGGTGCGAGTTCCCATTGTTCACTCTGCTGTGCAATGCTTGTTATGAGATTCTACAACGGTTGCAGAGTTCTGGACACAGTGCCAGAATCGGAGGATCAAATTGCTGGACACCATTATTGTAATTGCAGCCTGTGTCTGTAGGCATTTATGTGGACCCTGAGAAATGTGAATGCAGAAGATACCCATGCATGTTGCGTGAACTAAGTTCGGAGCGACCAACCGGACCCGTCAGGCCTAGACGAAGTCAAATCTCTCACATGTAGTTCGAGCTGCTCAGTCCACTGATTGCCTTCCTTTGCTAGCAGGCGCAGGTCTAGATCGTTGCGAATCTCTGCAGCGTCTTGGAATGTCAGAAGAATTTCACTGCAGAGTGCATGCTTCCTTGAGAAATTGAGAAATGGCGACAGCTTGAGTTGTGTCGCCCAGGTGTCGATAAACACAGACTCTATAGCAGCCAGCATGGAAGCTGACGAGGAGGCTGTGTCATGTGCTTGTCTTGCAGATGCTGTTTTCTGCCAAAAATCTCTTTCTTGTCGAGTATTGGATTGCTAACGTCTGTCCAGGCGCAGCGCTTCCTGGAACCAGGCTCTGGTGCACCTGCACCCAAGCACCCCATGGACAGGCAAGTCTGCGCAAGTGACGCAACAGAACAACGGGAGATCCTTTCGTAAGGCTTCGTAAGGCATTGAGGCAAGCCGCGGCGAGTCAGAGCCAGGAACCCGGAAATGGAAGCTCAACGCGCAGCAGCTATCGAGAAGGCCGTCACCGCTTCCGATTCAGACCTGTCCCTGTGGCCTTGTCCCAGCACAGGTGGCTCTTGCTGCTCGAAAGGTGACACAGAAGCTGGAGAAGCAACAGCAGGCTTGAGACAGCTTCAAGCTCGACCATCCATATCCATCCATTCCTGTGCTGTCTAAATGGAAGGCATCACATGCCACTAGTATCCCAGAACTTGAAGTCCTTTAATGCCAAACACAGCCCGAATCACAGAATTCTTGACAGGCATTGGATTCGCGCCGACGCAAGCGCTATCAGTGCGCCCAGAATGTGACATGCTAGCCTCTTGTTCCGTCCGACAGTTCTGCTCCTTGTAACAATCCTAGCGAGCATTCCGGCAAGTTGTGCTGATGATTGATTCTGTTTGGTTTGCTGAAAATTGCAGCTGCCAGCGCGAGGAGCGCGCCGGCCGCACAACTTCTCAGCCAAGCGCGCCATCGGCTCAGCTGTGATCGCGATTGCTACACTACACAGTGCAACCATAACGTCATGTCGGACTTCGCTGATCGCTAATCTAGTAAAGTTGTTGAAGGCGTGGCTGTGGAGGAAGCTTCAAGCGAACGGTTCGAGACCACCTCCGTCGCAGGCCAGTTTTAGCCCATGCCAGCTCTACAGGATGCAATCAAGCCGGATGGCAGGAGGAATCCCTGCAGTTGCTATTTTCGACTGGGCACCGGTCTTGTCTTCTTCATCCCAAACCGAGTAGCCGACGAATTGCATTGCCGCGGCTGAGGATGACACTCTCTTCCCTACAAGGCATGTCACTGAAGTGGTTAAGGCTGTCCACACCAAGGCCGAACAACAGCATTCCTGACCGCATCCGCACTGTTGCTCATCGTTTCTATGCTTTCAGGACGGTCCTTTGCCAGCTGAGTCGCCCTTCTACGCTGAGCTGAAGGCTCGCACTAGAGGAGAGGAGAGCAGCTGCTGCACGCTCTCCGCTTCCAGGCGCATGCACAGGTCGTCGAGGCAATCCTCCTCGCCGCGCGAGAGGTTCCGATTCTGCCCCCTCTGGAGCAAATTACATGTGGGCATTCTGCGACAAGCAGGTCGTCGGACGTGTCAGTATTGTGACACTCGCTCGCCGGCCTTGGGTGGAGACTTCGGCATCATGGCCCGCTCTGCTTGGGTAAGATAGTTCGGCAGTAGCAAGAACGTATGATGCCGGCTTCAGCAAACTGGGGCTTTGGTTCAGCAGGTACCTTCCTGGCGTTGACTTTGAGAAGCTGATGCAGGCCCTCGGCGTTCAGCTTGTGTCTTGAAAGGGCAAGGTGATTGTTGATGGCTCCAGCATAGCTGCCGCCTAGTGACTACAGAGCGAAGCCTCATCTAACAGCGGGCTGCCAGTGCAGGACTTGGAGATCGAGGTGTTTTATGCTCGCGAACATATCACACGACCACACATCTACAACGCCCCTCGTACCAACATTCCGGAGAAAAGGGTTCTTTAGTGTTCTGGAATAGGCCAGGTTGCGGTGATTGGACGGCTGGACTTCAGTGGCCTATACTTGACTTGTGACTTAAGTTGATACGAGGAAAGCTGAAGCCAAGGCTCAGTTGGAGGAGGGCGTCGACATGTTCGTGATTGCGAAACGGAACGTGCTGCACACAGTCTCAACACCATGCAGGCTGTGGTCGTGATGCCTAAATGCTTCTGGCTGAGGCGATGCTCAGGTGCCTGCGCAAGCTCTACGGTGCCAAAGCGAAGACTCGGACTTAGCATGCCCAACTTGCCGTCCTATTGAAGTCTCTGTCAAGAAGTCAGCATGCTCTGTGGTTCTCATGTATGCTCAGTTTAGTCGTTTGTGACATGCAACGTAAACCTTCGTTGGTTATGGCCTGAACTCTTACAAAGAAAGGCCGCCCGAAATCAAGAAAGATCTTTGAGGTGAGGGTTGTCCGCACAGTCAGTCGGTGGTCAGGTTCGACGTAATCGATGGCCGGGTGAGGCTAGCCGTGAAGAGAGCAGTGCTAGCAGTTGGACAAGCAGAGTCTCGTCAACCGCTCCGACCTGAACATGAACCCGATCTCGAGCTTCAAATGCAATGAAATCGTGGGAGGGCACACGAACAAGACGAAGTCGAAGCGTTCTCTGGCTGCCGAGCATCAGGTGCAGTCAAAAGCAGTCGCGAGCAAAGCCTTGCCCGTAGGTGCTGCGGACAAACGTTCAATAGCTGTTTCCAGAAGTCGTGAAGTGTCAGAGTGAGATGAGGGAGGACATGACCTTCCTGCCTTTTGGCAGTTTTGGCCAAGCTCATTGAACTCGTGCCTTTGGATTGGAGAGCAAAACCCTTCAGTTCCAACGTGTAAGAAACGAGAGTATCACGAGGGCGTTCTTGTTGTCAAAGCCCAGGAGCATGCACGTAATCTGCGTGGGTGACTCGACAGTGGAGCATCTCGCCATCAAGGAGGCTGCCATTTCGGGTTCATAGCCGGCAGGGGTGTGAGCAGTGAGATTCTCACAGGTGCTGTGGTGCTGCCCGCAGGACCCCTCCCACACCGACTGTGTTGCTAGTTTCGTGTGTCGTGCTTGTGGGCATCAAGCAAGGGATGTCACGCCCCTGCCGTGAGGAGGCAGGCAGCTATTGCAAAACCATAAAATTGATGCCGGGGCCCTGTGGAGCCCTTGCGGTCCTGCGACGCTTGCCCGTCATGGTGCCATACTCGACCAGGTCAGACCCCTCGGTTCAGAACCTGACTGAAGAGCTGCAGGCACAGGACAGCTACCACAAGATAGTTATGCTGTGGATATGCCATTGCAGGTGCTTACTTCCTGGCTCCAGCAAATTGTCGTATGTGTGAAAGATTTCGACATCAGCCTCTGGACTCAGTGCGATGAGAGCAAAACACTGCTATTGTTCCGACTTCGAGCTCCCTCTGCTCAGGCTTCGAGTCGGAAGACTTTCTGGAGAAAATGGCTGCCGCGCTCGGTGGTACTGAATGAACATAGACATACGTAGACGTCGCCTCTTGTCAGGGGGGTGTCTTAAATACATTAATATTCCAAGCGGGTGATGTCGCGGAATAACTATCGTGGAGGACAGTTTTTTGACGCAAGCTTTCACAATTAGCGCAAGGGGGGGCTACGGAATACTTTTCAAAACCAGTCATCTTGCCAACCGGGTCCGGAAAGCGGCAACCCGAGTCCGAATTGGACCCGGCTTGTTTTTGGTGGTGACAAATCACCAGGGTTTGTGGATGTAGAGTTTTTTGGGTTTAGGGTTTCTTCAGGGTTTAAGGGTTCAGGGTTTCTGAGCTTAGGGGTTCAGGTTTTCTGGGCTTGCGATTTCTGGGTTTAGGTTAGGGCTTCTCGGTTTGGAGTTTAGGGGTTTGGGGTTTCTGGTTGAGGAAACGTTTACGTTTATTGATTTAAGGGTTTTGGGGTTTCTGGGTTTCGTCAAACATGGCACCAACCAAGCCAAGAAGCATCCCAAACGTCAAACTCCGACCGAACCAACAACCGGCCAAAAAAACAGGGCAGATGCAGCGCAAGAAGCAAGGAGCAAAGATTTATCGAACATACAGCCAGACATTCCAGACAGGCGCGTCCAAAGAGACGAGTGCAAAAAGTTATATATATATGTATCTACATATATATATATATATACACACACACATGGTCATACCCCCCCCCCATGATCCACCTCCGTCTTTCTTCGGTATGTAAANNCCAAAACTGTGTCACAAAATCGGTGGTTCGGAGCATAACGAGGCAAACTTCAAACAATGCAATAAACGGACTGTGTATACCCAAGACTGTGCCACGAGATTCGGCTGAATTGTGTTTATGTTTGAACCTCATGACGGACTAGCATAAGAAATTATCAACCGTTGCAGAAATCCAAAAATCAAGAGATTTTTGCAGAATCTTTGGATTCTTTTGTTTTTGGGGGTGTTTTTTTGGATTTCCATTGTCTTGTTTTGGATTTTTGAGTAGAATCCAGAAAAAATCTTAGGAAATGGTTGGATTTTGTTGGTGTCGCTGGTCAAAATTCAAGGATGTTCTTTAAATATTTCCGTAGCACCAAAAACGCTTCAGGTATGTACTCAGAAGGTTTTGGTCGAATAATTCATGAATATAATATGCAAAGTGGTAATACTGTTTCATGAATATCAATTTCCAAGCAAAACTCATGATTACTAAGCATCTCTTGTATCGGGATGACTATTGAAGAATGACTAATATGCACGGGGTTTAACAACTATCGATCCTACCTTTTACTTGTGGTCAGCTATCTTCTTAATATTTCCGTAGCACCAAATGTATATGTATATATTCATGAGATGTTGGTCGAACAACTCATTAATGACAAATGCTAAGCCAGACTAGTGACTAATCATTACTAAGCATGTCTCATACTTGTAATTCGATTTTGAAGAATGAATAACTCCCAGACGAGTCTTTCAGGCAATGTTTTTCGGCATTTACAGTCCTAGCGAGATATACTAGATGTTGTCCCGCTAGCTTTGGGTTTGGTTTCGCTGCGTCTCTGATACGATGCTCGCTGAATAGTTCTCACTTGGTAGCAACTTCATATTTAACCCGATATTGAATGCTAGCTAAACGCCAAACGAATATTCAAATAAAAGCTGTGAGCATACTAACCAGGCGTCGTTGAAGTATTAAACAAGCCATCAAGTAGGAATCAAATGATACATATAACATGTACTTGCGGTGGAAATATGAAGAAAATACTGACCATCACACAATGGTTTGCTATTCATGCAAGGTTCGCACCAAATTTACAATCTTGCTTGAGGTTGCAACAGTCTTATACCATAACTTTTAATTTATTTGACTAGTGGTGTTGCATTTCCACTACCCACATTAGAGTATATCGTATATCATGAACAGTCAGAAATCCTCAAAGGTCTGGAATCATGAAAATGCCCAAAACGCTGGGTTTCGGAGAACTCTTTACCCTAGTTACATACAATGAGAAATAGGAGTGTACATGAGTTAAGCAGCAATTGAATGCAGAAGCTAGAGTCATGAGTAACAACATCTCCTACTCGTCTTTCTATAGCTATGTTAATCAAGACCTATTCTACTTATTCATGATCGTTTACATCGCTTAAACCTTGAGCCTAAACCTCAAGCTCCGAAGCAGGACCATATGAGCTTTCCGTCTAAAGGCATGACGTTTATGGACCTTAAGAAACATGAAAACACAACAGAAGACACGACATCACATATCGTACAGTACAACAGCGCAGCGGGAGACTTCCGGCTTGCGACAGTTTCAGTTAGTAACTGTGCGTGTTCCCCCCACTCCCCAGGCCCACCGATGGTGGATCATGGGGGGAGCGAGCTTACATATATACATATATATATATACATATATCTATCTCTCTCTCTCTCGCTCTCTCTTTTGCTCGTTCCACTCCCCCAATATTAACGGACCAAGTTCCTCCAGATCCGGGGTTACCGCCGGGGTGCGGACCCGGGTTGCCGAAAATTATTCCGAACGTCCCCAGCGTCCCAAAGTCCACTTACTGTAAAAGCTATTCTTCTGACCCCCCCTCCGCTCTCTCCCTATATGACATCCTGTTTAAGACACCCCCATCTCTTGTCGTTCAGGCACGATGTGCGGTTTTCCCAGTCTAAGCACATGGTGTTGCGGACGACATTCGACAGAGATGTAGCCGCTGAAGGCCACAAAGCAGCTTCACGCCCAAGGCTCTGTCAGTTTCCCCTACAGTATCTGGCATCTATAGCGGATGTCAGTATGTTTGCCGAGCATGCACGTTACATCACATTACCCCTAACGCCCTAGAGCTTTATTTGGCGTTGAGAGCTGCAGAGTTTCACCGCAAGCTTCGAGCACGCCCTGGTCAGATGAAGCCGGTCGGAGCCATGACTAAGATGTCAGAATCCTCGCATCTTGGCAGCCGGCCAGGCATGCTTCCGTAGCACAAAGACATCATCGACCGTGTCGCTTACCATCCCAGCTCGAAATGAACCTTTCATAAACAATCCAAAAATCTCTGAGGCAGGCATGATGGAAGTGGCAAGTGTGAGCGGGCCCCACTGCGTCTTACAAAACAGTGCCGACTTGCTCATCCTTGAGTTGTCGAGGAGCGTGTAGGCTGGCCATTCAAAAACGTTCTGGCATGCCTGGAGGCTCATGGAGTTGCATGAAAGGTATTCAAGTTATAAATTATCTGGCAGGGTAGCAACTCGTTTCGACGAGCCTTGCCCTAGTGCATCCAGTACACTCAGTACACCCACTACACCCAGTACACTCAGTACACTCAGCATTGCCTCTCAATGAGCACAAGTACAAGTCCAACTGTTTCTCTAGCATCAGAATTTCAGTGGTCGCATGACTCGCATGCCGGATCATGATGATGATTTGATGGGGTCTGCGTAATGACGTGACCGCTGTGATCGTGGAGTTGCAGCGAATGCAAACGCTCAAAGACCTGACGAGTTCACTGCATGATTCTTCGGCACGCTTGCGCTTTGGTCGTTTCGAAGGGAAAGGTGGCTAAACCTGCAACAAGTAAGTGTGTCTTCGCCAGGACAGTACAAGCCTGCAGCGTTTGCGGGACAATCTGAATGAGCTTCCGAAAAGGCCATGGCCTTTGTAAAGGCTTTCTGTGTCTGAGTTGACTAGCCTCAAGGTGGCTGGCCCGAGTTGAGCAGCCAGAGGCACCTGGAACCTTGCAGACATGCACAAACCGTGGGAAAAGCAGAATCGAGTCAATGCGACGAACCGTAAACAAACTTTGCCTGTCTGGATTCCAGCCTTGTCGCTGCAACAGGACTACCTTCTGGGCAGTGTGCGTGGTGAATGCAACTATCACTTCAAGCCGCGCGCTTTCGGTCTCACCATCTCATGTCGGATTCCCTGGTGCCCATCAGCAGACCATGCATGTCGAGGTTCCGTTTAGAAGGCGGCGGTTATTTCCAGGCCTTTGCTTGTGGCCATCAGCCCTTGTGTCGCATGTTCATGACTTTTCCAGCGTGTTTCTCAGCCTTTGCATGTGTGCAGACCGGTGTGCTGGTGGCGTCTGCAGAGGCGAGCCCTGGAGGGCTCCCGGCCTCAGCCTTAGTTTCGCGAGAGACTTCTTTGCTTGACATGCCCGAGGAAAAGCCGAAGGACGGACATTTGACAATCGTGTCTGAACCGCAGCCGTCATGCTTCCAAGCTTTGTTGATCCAACTCGAGCCTCGCAGACCTAAGGTGGGTCTGGTGCATTCTGCGTCGTATTATGCTGGACCAAGATGGTGCCACTTGCTGCAGCCAGGCGTCAATGCTTCCTCTTCGCTCCTGCCATCGGCAGGCCACTATGCTGTGCGGCAAATCCGGAGGGACACAATGGAACACACTGTGCATCAAGTTGAGTGCATCCGATACCGACGACTTAGCGGTTGAGTGTTGGTTTAATCACTGTGTTTTCGCACTGTCATGTCAATCCTTGGTTTTGCTCCTGTACTAACAAACAGCACGCTGGTGAATATCCCAACAACACTCAGCACAGCTTTTGTGAAGAGTGCTATGTCCTTCAACTGCCACTAAAAGTCTGTGTTGTTGCCGCCACCTTCCGTCCGTGAACATGCAGGAACCATAGTAGGCACCTGCCGTAGCAGTTGGAACTTGGAAACCTTGCCGTCCCCGCAGATTCAACTATACGGCTGTGAGTTGCTTTGGGGTGGTCCTACCAAGAACATACCCTCGGCACCTTGTCCAAAAGCCTGGCAGGAAACACGCAGCATCGTTCGAATCAGGAATCAGCGAACAGGATTTGAAAAACACACTGTACTTATATGAGACGCCAGGAGACTGCGTCTACAAAAGTCCGCATGAACTAAGTAAGAGCTGTAGTTTCGGATGGCTGCATATCGCTTCGTCACACAAGCTCCTGATGGTATGTAATCTCCTAGCATGGTGTGGTGCTGATGGTATGTAATCTCCTAGCATGGTGTGGCCGCACGAGGTCAGATGCTTGCCACGCAGGATAGCGTGGGAGACTCAGGATCAGCAGAAGCACGGACGAGCTGTCCGAGCTTGCCGACATTGGAACAGGATCAGAAGAAATGAGCTTTTCAGATTGCTAGGTTTGTAGGGTGCAGATGTGCAGTGAGCACCGCGCACTGGAAGAGGATTGCCTCAGCTTGAAATCTTCAATCTCTGATTTGCACCCTGAGGTTGTTGCTGCCTGTGCTGTTTCAGGATGTTTCTGCATACATGCCCATTATAGCACCATTATTGCTAAACAAAACCGTGCACAGCAGCCGAGTATACCTGAAGGAAATCAAGGCAGGTGTTGCATGATGCGCAACATATCAGAAGACCAAATGCTCTAAGCCGCTAGGCGATTGATACCATATGTCGCCGAGGTGCGATTTCCTGCGAAGGGCTTCAAACACCTCTGCCCCCAGGCCAGGCTAGAATTGATTTCCTTCAGGGAAAACTGCTGGCTCGGCAAGATTCGCCAAGTAAGACCCACAGCTTTTTGATGCTGGTAATTAAGGTCAGTAGCAGATGGCCGAGGGGTGGCTACTGTTAGCAGTGTCATGGCTGATCCAGGCCTTTGGAAACATGGGAAGAGGTGGAGCTGCACCGACCAAAGGCGCCAGCGGGGCCAGAGCGGGGCGGTGGAGCGCAGAGCGCTTCGGCATGGGACGATGCGGGACGGCGTGGGGTTCTAAGCTGCGAGGCTCCCACGCTGGAAGGCTACGTCCGACCAGTTGGGGCTCCCGAACAACTTGATATTCCAAGAGAGCAGTGGCGTGGCTGCAGGCAAACTCACGGCCCTTGTTGAGACTCTGCTCCTGTTCCTGCCAAGGTACCACCAGTTTATGATGGGGAAGCCAGCAAGATATTCAGTTGAGCTCAGGCGCGTGCAGACTTCAGAGTGGCAGTTGCTGTTCAACATTGCACAGTTTGGGATCGTGCGGAGGAATTTTCTCATGGGACTCGGCGTTGTCAGCTTCTGCTTTGCAGAGTTTGCCTTCACTGTGTACAAGGCTGCAGTGGGATGTGGTGATGTGTCCAACTACTTTGACCCATTGTGACCAGCTGCGCCCGGATGACCTCGACTGGGTGGATGAAGAGCGGAAGCGAGCCGCTGCAGCCAAAGCTCGGATCGAGGCCGGTGTTAATGCCCGTTCAAACGCCTGATTAGGTTGCAAGTTGTCTTAAAATTGGTGGCAAAATTGGTGGCCTCTGAAGGCACGCATCGCCAAGCAAGAATCCCAAGCCTCCAGCGACTAAGCAAGGGCCCCTGCCTGAGTGACACACTGCGATCCTTCAATTTTGTCATTTTGGAATGGTCTAGCGTGTGCGGCCTTCTGCAAATGAACTCCCTCGCCCAGCAGGGCAAGCGCCCCCAGAGTGCCGAGGGCAGGGGCACCGACCCGCGCATCGGCAGGATCGCCGATCTTACGTGAACAATAGGCGTAAAACACTTCAAGGTCTAAGGTCCAGGTAGAACAATGCAGAAGATAGGACATGCGAAAAGCAGAAATTTAGGGGTACCGCATGTTAGAGAGAACAGAAAGAAGGATACACGAATCAGGAAGTGCAATAATGAGGAAGCAAGGAAATTAAGGAGACAAGGAGGAAAGGATGAACGAAGACATGAAAAGCAAAGCGAACAAAAACGAGCAAAGAATGAAGGGTGGAAGGGAGGGACGCAGGGAAGGAAGCAAGTGAGAGTGGAAGGACACCCAAATTGTTCACATCCCGGCACCTATGGCAGATTTTTAAGCAAACAGGGCGAGGCCCCCACCTCCATATCCTCTCCTTCAAATCGCCGCTGATACCAACGCAGTTGTGAGTTGTGTTGCTGGCCTTGCAGCTTTTGTCTCGTTCTAAGAGTACTGGTGATGCTTTTTGGATTTAACGCTGCACTTGGAATCACCTGGACTCTAAGTAGCTTAGCCCAGCGACCCTGAGGAAGACAACAGCTGGAATGACTGCGGACGAACCCATAACCTTCATCAACCAAAAACACCCTGAGCATCACATAGAACACGAAACCGCACAAGAGCCGTCAAGAGCCGAAGCTCTGATGGAGCCCTCAAATCCGACCCATTTTGCAACCGCTGAATCCAAGAACGCAGTACAAGCCCTAGGACTCTTGGATCCTCCCGAGAGACAAGGAGTTTGCAGGGAACACGGTGAAATGTCCGACAAAAGCAGTTGTTCGAGCCAATCCCTGTATGCCGAAATGTCACATGGAACGCTTGCTCCCAGGCATGAGCAACAGTGGGCGCGTTGTGAATGAAGTGGTTTTCGTGGTCCTTGCAATGCCTGATGTGTTTTGCCATTATCTGCCCAGTATCAGTGTTGCATTCGCTCCTTCATCCTAAGCACTAGTCTATTGTGCTGCTGTTGTCAGCTAGTTCACGTATTACTGTTGGCAGGACAATTGTTGTAGAACTTCAGAGAAGTGGGAGATTGCTGTTTGTTGTTTGTCGGTGCGCTTGTTGTTTGGTGGTGGTTGCTGCTGCTGCTGCTGCGTTACGATGCTAGACTAGACATTTCCGGTTCTTGTGGATCACGGCAGTATGCTTTTTTCCATCACCAGGATATGCTAGGATTCACAATTCGGGTTTGCAGCGTCCCTCACAGCGAGTGGGCAATTTGGGCAGCGTCACAAGAGCACAGGGCACGAGCGCATACAGGATGGTTTCGGAAGTTACTGCAATATTGCACATGGACATGCGTCGGTGCTGCGTAGCTCGAACTGCCGAGGATGGTAAACCATGATCACCAAGTGCAATGTCTGCACATCACTGCAGTACGGCAGTTTGCCTCGGTGATCGTTTCACCCCAGGATATGCCTGAGCAGGACGAGGCCCACAAAAGCTTGTATATAGATGGAAAAGATAGCTTGCTGCGTCGCAGAATGCAGACGACCGCGTTTGCAACTCATGTGCAGTCATGCTAATTCAAGACAACCAACTGTGGCCTTTGATCGTGAAAACATGGGACAAGTGCGGTCGGAATGTGCTTTTGGCGAGCACTCGGTCAGCAGGACCTCTTTGGTAATCCGAGGTGCCCCTGAAATGTAGATGGAAGCGCAAGATTGGCGACCTCCCAGTGGAAATCCCCGGAGTAACTTCAAACATGCACGGGGCCTCAGAAGTCGGAGGAGAATCGAAAACGAGTTTGATACGGTCGATCTGCTCAGGTACCAGATCTCAGCTGACGATGTTGGGACCGATATTTCTGTAGAGGTGCAAGTCTAGATTCCGAAGCAAGTTTTCAGTAAGGTCCTGCAGACAGCATATTCCCAGGCGCAGCCAGCAGACTTGGACGATGGTCACCACGGCACGGTCATCGGAGAGGCCGATTGGTGTTGCTGTAGGAAGCTCACGGATAGATCCTGCATGCCTCTGCGATGCAGATCGGCCCCTTTGAGCTCGACCCGGCGACCAGACGTAGCCTGGACAACGCGCTGGGTTTGGGAGGAAGTAGGCAGGACCATGGGCAGATGTGCGCAGCTTGTAGTCTCAAGCCTGACTTGTCCGCCTTGGAAGCCTTAAGTGGCAGGGTCTACACTCCCGCCTTCGGACATTTGGAAGCACACGCCAATTGCCTGCAGCACTCAAGCAAACCAGCCTGACACGGCCAGATGCCGCACAGCCTTGCCGAAATTTCCCAAGCTCCAGCAGACAGTAGCTCAGACAAGACTGCTCTGACGCCTCAGTTTACGAGGCCATTTCACGTCAGCCGGCGGCAGGAACGATCCAGAGCCCCTTCGTATCGTTTCAGAAATCGCGGCGAGTGTCGCTGTGGAGAGTCTTTCTGCACCTGCCCTGACAGGACATAAGTCATCCCAAGCAAAGCAGTTCCAAGTCCTTGTCGACATTACCAGAGTTTCTCCACGAACACATGGCTTTCGCCCTTCCTCGTCGCATTTGGAGATTTACTGGCAAGGTTTGCGAAGTTGTTTCTGCCATTGAGTGCGCTGCTGTTGCAGTGATTCAAAGCCATCCTTGGTTTCGGGAACATCCTTCCGAAAATACTGGAGGGTTCGCTGTACTTCAAAGTGATCGCATATCTAAAACTTGATTTCAGGATTCTCTTGGCTGATCATGCGGCAGGTTCGCGGTCATGCAGTCAAAACTTCCTGGAGAAGCTCCCGGTGGTGCCCGGCAGGACTCTGCACAAAGCGCAATGCGATGCCATGCCATGCAACGCTACATGAAGAAGATGTGCTCTACTTATGTGCTCTTGGCGGAAAAACATTCGGGGAGGATTTGGGAATACAAGTCTCCGCCGAGGGTGTGCGGGTGCGAGCCACAGCACTTGTGGGTGCTGTAATGTTGCTCATTAGAAAATCCTCGGAGGTGACGTCTGTTGGAGCTGGCTACCAGGGACTTCATCTCAGATCTGCCAAAAGTTACATGTCGCGCAGGCTCCAGGTTGTAAGAGTCAGCCGTTGTAGCCTTGCCACTCTCCGTCGTCGTGCAGTCTTGCCTGATGTGAGGAAAACAAGGAATTTGGGAGACGTGCGGTTTTGGCCTCTCACGGATTTCACGCGCTTAGGCCGCGACAGTCGGGAGGTCTATGCTGAGTGCGCTTCGCCGGGTTCTATTGGCCTTCCTGATTGTGTTGCGCTGCGAGGTACTCGTCCGAATACCCGAAAGTCATTATTCATCCGTTGGACACCACCAAGGCTTGGTCGACGTGTTTGTTTCCCCCGGCAGTTTTTGCGCACCTTCGTGCAGTTCCGGTTGGTCATGAGCGAAGTCAAGACATTCCACCTCATGGCCCTTACGCGTACTGCGCGTGACTTGATCGCCCTGACCATACGCTGCTTCCATGCCAAGAAGTGCTCCGACGCAAGTTGTGGATGCGGAAACTCCTAGGCTGCTAGCGGATTATGCATCATTGACCATCATTGTATTGACATGCTTGAATTGCGAAGAGACGGGCGTGCCCTGTTGCTGAGATCAACGGCGGACGAACAGCGAAAGCCCAAAGCAGTTGATCAGGTACATGTCTACCTCGAGTCTTCTGCAGACTCTACTGCCTGCCATAGCCTGAGTTGAGGCGACGCTGGACAACGTTTCTTTCTGCTTGACAAATGCGCCTGCTCTTCGCAGTTGCAGCAGCCGATCAATGAACCGTCAGTATGTGGTGAAGATGATTCATGTATTTGATGTAAATGCTGGCGTCTGGGTAAAGCATGCATAGCATGCATCTAAATTTCTCGAAGGATGCGAAGACTAGGCCTCTGCCGCCTCCAACATCGACTTGAAACGGAGTTGCATCCTTATGGTGTGAGATGGAGGAGGTCGCCAGAAGTTATCACGTTGCTGGGTTCAGGTATGTGTGTGCATATACATACATACATACATACATACATACATGCATGCATACATACATACATACATACATTGACATGTAGAAGTGTGCATATACACACACACACACACTAGTGACATTGTTTTGCTTGTTTGTGTGCACTTTGAAGCAGGATGATACATCCAACAACAATCGTAAGTATATACCGATTTGCAACTGTACTTTTGTGGACATTTCTATGCTTCGAAACAGCGATGTTCCCACAGAAAACACCCACATGTTCGAAAATCCTTTGGGTAAGGCCGTCTAACTGAATCCAGCTTGTTCACAAACCCGATTCTGGACTCTCGAAAGCCTCGTTAAAACTTCATCGTCCGACTATGAAATCACAGGAGCATTCTGACCCACAAATGCTTCACAAGATAGCATGGACGTATTCTGGTACATTGAGCCTCGCCAAGCTGCGTCCAGCCACCAATGCCACCATCATATTGAAACTTGAACAACTGAGGTCCAGGCACCTGCTACAGCAGGCGACACCACAGGGTTGCATCATGCAAATACATGGCAGTTCATAAGCATCATTAAGCGGTCGGATAACTTGCATTCTTCTTGCGCAGGTGCTGTCATTCCGATTACAGATGCTCGCTTGGATGCGTGTATCGTGCTTGAGACGCTGGCGAAGGAGCTGGTTCGTGGAAGCCTAACGGCACTGATGTGTCACATTCCTTTCGTGTTGGCTTCACCAGCTGCAGCAGCTCAAGCCATGCAGCACAAGCTTCACAACCACGTCAACCGCGAACAAATGCAGCACAATGCAGAAACAGTGCCCCGCACACAATGTACATCATCAACAGCTCTCGAAGGGAATTCCGAGTCCTATTGAAAATTCCAGCACAGCTACAGCATGTCGCATGAGATACCTTGGATGAGCCGGGATGATCGCACGGGAGGCATGCAGGTTGCACTTGCCGTCGCTTGTGATGCATGCGTTGTAGTACCGTTATAGCTTCCGGATCTGCTCCGCGATCAGCTGAGATTTGTTTGTGGTGTTGTTGCCACGGCTGTATACTTATGACCTTTCTCAGCGGTTTCCTTGTTCGAAGTGCATGTCAGACACAGCCTTCTGTGTCCTGCGGCTCAAGCGCGGAGACGTGTCTTCACCAAAGCGGTGCAACGCAGCGGAAGCGGCCTCCGAATGGAGGAGCGCCAGAAGAGGAAGCCTAGGACTTGGAGGCCTTTTCGCTCATGCGCACTGCAATGCCAGGATGACTTGCGATGACTTCGCAGGTGTCAGCCTGAAGCCATCTCAAAGCCTGCATTCCTCGTTGTTCATTCTGAGGTTAGCGGCGTCATGAAGGGCCAAGAGCCCAAGGCCGTACAGCAGCTGGTCTCGGATCTCAAGCCGCAGTCCCAAACGCCATGGCATGTGACTCATATGACTGCTTCGCGTGTCGGCTTCGAGGATGATGGCGGCTTATGATGCAGCTGCTGACTGGGGCGAGGCGAAGGCCCCCGAAGAGGGAAGCTCTGCAAGCAACCGTTCTGCAAAGCCGACTGCGAAGGCCATGGATGGCGCATATGCTGCAATGTCGTGGGATGATGCTGCTGTTAAGGCAGGGCTTCTAACCGGGCAGAAATCACATGCGCACTCTGCTGTCTGCAGACGCAAGAACACGAAAGCGGGTACGAAGATGAGTTTTTCTGTCGGGCAGTAGCACTTTCGAGCAATGGTTCGAAGTGCGTCTTTGCCAACAAAGTGCTCCATTCGCACTCCTGCACGCTTTGTTTTTCATATTTTTTCATACCTAGGCTAGCGGCTAGCTGCTCCCTTTGCAGTGCAAGCCTGCACCAGGCTGCACTGCCAGAATATCTGAAGTCCTCCGGTGAGGAGCGTGCCAAGGCTGTATCCGAGTTTCACTGGCGACTGGATTTCGTCCGGAGGTCAGGGACCACATTTCAGAGCTTTTTGGGGGGTTTCTTGCTTCTTTCAGCAACGCCTTAAAAACTAGCCCTCTCCATTCATCAGAAGTCGCTTTCCGAAGTACGTTCTTTTCCAAAAGCTGAGGCATGCTGAGGCCCTTCAGAAAGCTAGGCGTTCTTATTAAATGCTTTACATGGCTTGTACAAGAAAAGCATTTGTTCATTCCTTCCAGAGCAACCCCTTACAGGGCCTGCCCGGCATCACCCCGGTTATGACAGGGATCCAGGTCGGAAAGCCCTGGAGCCCGTGGGATTTGTAATTGTAATTCAGATTTAATGCGTTGCTTTGATGATAATATAGAATCCGAGGAACCAGAACCCAAAAGTGATGTTCGATTCATGCTGCCTCCGTGATCCTTCTTATTCCAGGGAGGAAGAGGGGGCTGCACACCTATGATTATGGTGCTCGGAGTAGGGAATGCGGGGGAAGGCAGACAAGGCAGCAAGTGCCAGGTGGACTATGCTTTCGGTGCTCTCATCCTGCGGCCGCCGCAGACCAGCGACGTGCGGCAGGCAGAAGTCAACCTTTCCAACTCGGGTCCAGATGAAACGTCTCTGCCATCAGCAGGCTGCGATGCAGACCTGGATCAAAGCTCGTTTATTCACTTACAACAAGGTGCTATGCATGTCGTTGGTTTTCCATCATCGTTTCTGCGAAGGTGTCATGACGACTCATGCATTGCATGTGCAATATGTCGCAGGTCCTTCCTTTCGACTTCAGCCCACCTGCAGCCTGAATATGCTTGAGTCACTTTCAGATGGTGGTCAGAGGGATTGACGTGGTGCAGACGTAAGACACGGCGCCGGCAGTGCACGTCCCATGGATGCAACACCGCGTGCAGTAGTTAGTCTAGACGGGCCTGGAGTGTGGCTCGTTGCGGGCCAAGATCGGGCGCCGGCAAGCCTTCTGGATTGAAACGGCCGAAAACGCTGCAATGCTGGCATAGGGTGGTCTTTGCAGGGTGCATTGGCAAGTGTGAGCAATGCCACAGGTGTTGACGCCCGGATGACACTCAGCGCGCAATGCTACAGACCTTAGGTGCAGGCCTCAATGCTCAGAAGAACAGCAAACATAGACAGCTGCTGATCGGGTGTTTGCGTGTACTGTCTCGCGCTGTGACCTTGTCTGTTCTTGACGACGAGTATGACGTAATATGACCTCCAGAATCCGTGAATCGAAGCTTTAGCTGCTTCGAAGAACAAACGGGCAGCAAATAACTTGAACACATGCCGATCAGGGCAAGATCGACAGAGTTGGGGAACGAAGGGCCAGCAGGATGCCATCACAATGACCGGTCATGCATGGTCCAAGAGAAACACAGGTCATGCCTCCGGCAACGACGCCAAGGATGCCTGTGTCAGCAAGGATTGCAACATTTTTTGGCCAGAAGTAGGATCTTGCTCCGATTTCAGCTTCACGCCGTACATAATGCCTTCCATTTGAGTGGTTCACGCCAGAACGTGGCAGGAGCTCGCTTCTGTCACTGAGCTGCCGGCGCGCAACAATTTCCAGTGAGAGGGGGCATTGGGATCTCAAGCCAGAACGATCTGCTGCTCTGTTTGCAGGGAAACACTGAAACTGTCATCGCTTGGCTTTCAGAGGCAGGTTGGCGGCACGTACTTCGCATGCGGCATCGTGTGGCAAATTTTGCTGAGTTGCAAGATGTTGTAAGGATGGACTTGTGCTGGTACCGCTTGCATGGTTGGGCGGAGCGGCACAGCTCAACGGCAGATGTGTTGACAAAGCCAGCCCCACATCATGTTTCTTGCTTCACAAGCGTGAGAATGTCATGCGATGCCAGGTGTTTGACCGGCTGACCGAGTCGAAGGCAGCATGGTAAATCTAAAGTCTAGACTAGGAGCTTTCTTCATATACCTCGACACGTGAATTCATGACGGGGGGTTGGCTTACTAGCACGGATATGCCCAAAAGCTGCGCGTGAATGCGCGTGATGTTGAGCTCATCATGACAGGCAAAAGAAAAACGAAGTGCATTTGCCCCACGTCCGGAAACCGAACGTCACAGCAGGGCTCCTCGGAGCACATCGGCGGAATCCGCGAGCGCATGCAAGCGCCATATCATTTCGTGGCGGGAGCAAGTCCTTCAGGACCTCCCTAATTCGCAATACGCCTTGCCAACGCAACGCGGTTTCCTTGCTCGTCGCTGTCGATGTCTGTCGAAGCTCCAGTCTTCTACGATGCCGTTTCTTTGAGGCCCGGCCCGGCCCACAGGGTTTCGGGTGAGGACCAGTTCTTCAAGGTCCGGCGGACCCGAAACGCACAAATTCCGACATTCTTGGATTCTCCGACGCAAGGCACAAACCCAAGCCTCGATGCGAAAAGGGTCTCGTCTGTGGGCAGACTGCGGGTCGTTGCTTTTGTTACATCCGGTCGGAGGCCCCGGCAGTTCCAGCTGGGGTCCAGGATCGGATGTGGGATGATGTGGGTTGGGGAGGGTCGAGTGTTTGTGTGTTTGTTCTTGCGTTTGCGATTTCTGGCGCAGGGTGTGGGCTTGGGATGGTTGGGGCTTGCCTACAGGGAGTGATTGGTTGTCAACGAGTGTGACAAACCCCAAACCCCAACAAACAGAAGCTGCTCTGTGTTGCATCAAGTGCTTTCATGATCGTGGAAACTGCTCTGTCCTTACAGTGTGACACCGACTGGGACAAAGCACTCACCAGAACACCGACCAAACTAACACCCACACGACGGGGACACCGAGCAGGACACGAGCCATCACGGCACGAATGAGAGACTCACAACGACAAGCACATTGTCGCAGACGCCGTTTGGGACACGAGCGGGACACCGACTGGGGACACCGCCCCGGGCCACCACCGGAACAAGACCCGGGGCACCAACCTGGACTGGCGGCGTACCCGGCATACAGGGACCACCAAGGACCGGGACACCAGCGGAACACGACGGGGGACAGAGAATGCGCGACACAAGAGACTGCACCGGGACAACGACCAGAACACCGAGGGGGATACAAAGGCCGGCCTTGCATCCAAACTTCCCCCCGCCAAGTCATAGGCCATGGATGGCCATGGGCTTTAGGGCTAAGCGCCTGAGCCTCGGTCGGTCTTCAACAGAACTCTGCATTGACTTAGGCACAGGCCGGCAAAATATATAGGTTTGGCCTGCGTCGAGGCTTCTCAAGTCTTCGCTACTGTAGTTGTGCCTTTTTGAGTCCTGATCGTTTCACCAAGCTGAACATTTCAAGTCGTTAGCCTTGATTCACGCTCGCCCAACTCTAACAGCCTTGCTGGATGCATCACACCTTAACGCATGACCACACTCAGCACTTAAACCTACAATCATTCTTGCCTTGCTTGGCTCGAAACTTGCAAGAGCTGTAGACTTTCCAGCTCGCCATGCATGCTTCTGCAGCAACTGAGCAGAAGCATACGGCAGAGACCTCCTGTTCAGAGCACTGCAAATTCAGCAGGCAGTGGCAAGTTCAAAGACAAACCCGAAGGATCCCGAAGGCGTTTCCCAGTGCTGTCAAATCCATTTCCAACGTGACGCGGAGAAGGCGACCAGGCATCAACGATATAGCCTCATGCACGTCGTCTCAGCTCTGACATTCGTTCTCCCACTGCTGCATGGTATGTGCACCAACCCCTACAACCCTTGATTGCAAGCAGCAGCAAGAACGAATGCATTGTGGCAGTTCCAGTTGCCAAGGGTCGGTTGTCGGACAACATAGAGACAACCCGATTCTGCGGGTCCCAGCCGGTAAAGTACTCTGTAGAGACTCACTTGGCAGAACCTTACGAAAGCCGGTTCCCAACAACCCACGACTACGACACGCTCAAGTGAGTCACGTTGCCACAAACCCTTCCAGATTTGGGCTGCAGTTAGTTTCACTCCTTTTTTAGATGATGGGTGGTGTGGCGAAACCCAAACCAAACCCTTGCCGGCTCTACTTTGAAGAATTGGTTCCCTGAAGCTCCCATTCTGACGCTCGGTGCGCCTCGACGTGGCAGTTTGGAGTGTCGTGACACGACACCCCGAGCCTACACCGCGGCACCCCGGCGACGTGGCCTCCCTGCGCCCCTGTGTTTTGTCCGCTCGTACCATGAAGAGCTCGCATGGCTCGCAGCTTCGCAGCCTTTATCGATTTGCCGCGTCTTCTGCTTGAATCGTGCAGTAGTCATCCTCGGTTCGCTAAAACACCCTGGAAAATCCTGGAAACAGGAAAGCATACATGACCTCACGTGAGGAACGGCAATCGAACCCTGGTCTGATCTTTGCTTGCTGCCAGGGAGCCTGCGCCATAAGTACTAGTAGCAGTGATACCCTTGTGACACGCTGTAGCGATCGATGCCAAACTCCTATGGAAACGACAAGCAGATGAAGTCAGACACGCTTGTCAGGAAAACAGTGAAAGGCTGTCCTTAAACGTCGCCGACTCAGACGATTGCACCGTCCTTACTCAGAGAGCTGCTGTACAGTCGCTGGCAGTAGGACACTTTTTCAGATTGTTCTGTACAGACCAGACTCTGCATCCGAGACGTGTGTCAATCCATCTGTTCTATGGAACCATGTTGGGCAGTGGCAGAGACCCACAGGTCATTGAATTCCTGCTGTCGAGAGAAACTGTCTTGCTACGCGACTATAAGACTGACTATAAGTGAAGGCTCTGTCATCTGTCCCGGATGTGTGGGCCAGGACAGGGTGGGCGCCTCCCCGCCCCCCATCGACCAACCCTGCATCAGCGCTAGATGAGAGCCAGCACAAGGCGACCGCCGACTGTAATGACTGCCACCAGCAGGAACTTGCGACCACAGAACAAGCATCGTCACGCGTGATCGCCCCTGTCTTAGTCGACCGCGACGGCCGGCCTGCTTCGTAGCCCGCTAAACTTTTGTCGGCACATTGTCAGCTATGGTGCGTCACGGCTGCGGCCATGGTCTGCCCGGCTTCCTTCTTCCAGCACTACCATGGCTCATGATAATTATGTTGGCACACACTCGTCAAGACCGAGGCCTGCATGTCACAGTCCGTACATAAAGAGAGGAAAACTCACAACCTCGTGGAATTGCCGGGTTCATGCGACTTCCGTATAGAAGTACAGAGAAGTGCGTCCACAAGCATCGCAAACACGATCGTGAGTCAATGCCTTTGATTGATTGACTTTTTCGCGGAATGAGGTTCTGCAACATCTCTGGCATGACACTTGGTTTTGCAGGATGTCTTGATCTGCTGTGATCTGATCTGTTGCTGGGCAGATTCTCTGTCCGTCAAAGGCATGGATACCAGATCTTGGTGTTGAGGGAAACCCACTGCCGGATCCTAAGCCATGCATGAGACGTTTATGGTCGATCTCTGGCTTGGCCGGCTCGGCTTGCTACTTCAGGCTTTGTGTTGGATTCGCCCATGGCGGTGTCAGCCTGTTTTCGCATAAGGCAGCTGTGAGATGCTCAGTCGAGTCGCGCTCCTTCTTGGACGTTGCCTTGTAGTGGCTTGCCATCCCAGCGCCACTACAGGTTCTCTTTTCATTCTTGGTGTCTCCGACTGCTATCCTTCGAGTTCGATACTGTCGAATCCTCAAAGCCATGGGGCATCCAAGTCGTGATAAAGCTAAGCTGCCAATCCGCAGCTCAGGCAGCTCGCGACAGTTCATAGAGGACTACTTAATCCTTGAGCTCTACAACTTGTTGTTGCCCCACATGTCATGAGCTGCTGAGCTGCTGCATATCATGGACTGAGACATGCAAACTGCAAAATCTATCCCGATGGACCAGACTACCTGCGGAGGAGTCAAGGAGACAGGGAGACATTCAACCTCCTGTGTCAGTGTCAAACACATTCTTTTCCTGCGATCGCTTGCTCCGCTTCCTGCCGGGTGTCATCTCCAGAGTTGTCTCTAGGACCTAGGAGGTTTCGGGTGGCTATGGTGGCTTGACCCCGAGCTACGCAGGATGCCATGCAGAAGCCGGGCTCCAGGCCACGGTTTGCAACTTAGCAACACGCAGAAGCAACGTCTCTGCACACGAACCAAATTTCTGCCGGGGTCTCCAGGCTCAGTCTCATGCTCCTCCACGAACACGGTCGCGTCGTTGTGATAGAGCCAGAGGGAATCCGGAAGGCCGTCGCCAGTTGCACATGTCACGATGGGTCCGGACTTTCTCCCAGGCAGCTGGGCAGCTTCCCGACCCGGAGGCCGGGAGATTGGGGTTTCCTTTCAAAAGGTCGAGATAGTGAAACCATGTGAAACCGGAGTAGCTCTTGACATGTCTTGACAGGACCATCCCCTTGACGCTTTGGGGTTTTCTGTGGGCTGCCCAGCACCATCAAGCCTCTGCGAGCTATTTGTTATGTGCTGGCCGTGGTGCACATGCCGGATAGGATCAAGCCTGCTTGCTAGCCCGCCTTCTCGAAAGCTTGTGGGCTCAAGCAGAGCTCGCAAATGAGATGGCAGATGCTGATGCTGTGCTTCCCCGAAAGAAATCCGAAATCGAGCTCATGCGACAGATTGACCAGGTCACGTCCAGGCCGTGCTCGTGCATTTGCAGCAAGACTACGTCTACAGTAGCTGCATGCTTGCGGTGGAATCCAGACTTCCGCTGGAGTTCCGAATTTATTCATCCTTCATACATTCTGTCGCGGTGCAGGGTTCGCATGTATGTGAGGCTTACGTCATGTTGGTACACCCACACAGCAGCCGTGGTGAATAAGGTGCAGGTGCAAGATCTTACAAGCCGTTATACACGTCGAGTTGCTTTCGTGCGTTAGCGGTCACAGCCATGTGTGTGCTGTCTCTTGAGACATCGAACTTATCTTCCTTCGTGTTTTCTGCGTGCCGACATGCCGGCACTGTAATCGACGTTGTATCCTCGGGTCACCTACGGTCCCCGCATGTTTGAAACCTGTCACATGCCAGGTGTGAGTGTTTTTTGCGTTGTGTGGTCGTGTGACAAACGCCGTCCAACCACTAGCTTCACTAAGTTGTGTAATTGGCAAACATCAACAACTTCATGGCCATGGGCGTATGCCTGCACTCGTGAACACAGCAGTTGAGCAAGCAGTCGTCGAAAGCAGCAGGCGCGCAATCAAGATATGCCGAGAATTTGGGCACACATGCGATGAAATCCGCTTCGGAGCAAGCATCTGTCAGTTTTGCTTGGCTGCTAGTCTGCCGGCTCGTATTTTGCCGAGCTGCCGAGCTTTTCAGTTTTCTGGCCTGTGTTTTGTCGGCAGCGGCCAGGCAGTTCGAGCTCTCGGAGTTGTTGAAGCAGCGCATGTCGGCAATCGACATGCTGCTGGAACTACCGTCCGACCTCCAGCAGCAAAAGCCAGATTGTCCACCTCCTCATATAGCATTGCAGGACGAAGCAGAGTGGTGGAGACAGCGAATCTCAGAACTGTCGAAGCCAGCGCCTAGAGAAGACATCAAAGAGGTCAGTCCTCCAGATGGAACTTGGGAAGCTCCCAAAAAATCCTGGTCAAGAGGGCGAAGCTTTGTTCGCGCTGGACATCAGCCTGTTCCTGCGCCACCAGGACACAAGCCGAAGGCCAGCTGTTTTGCTTCATCGTGTTGGTTTGCCATAGCCGCGAGTGCCACAACGTGACAATGTGAGCTTCGTGTCGCCGATGAACGACCCAACCAGTGAGGTTTCTGTGAAAAGTTGGTCCCCCACCCGTGCATTCCCGCGACCCTGCTCCCGGCACTGGACCCGCAATGTGCCTTTTTATTAGTTAGTGAGGCGATTGTTCAGGCCACCCGGCGACTGATCCGAGAAATAAGTTTGAGAGACAACGCTGCCCGCCTGAACGACTTGATTCAGAACTATCGGCCTATATCCTATATCAGCCTCAAGCTACCAACTGCATAGTGCAGCTGCCAAGACCACAATCACTCGGGCAAGAGGGCTCTCGGCCGTACGGCTGCAGAGTCTTGGCACCGAGTTTGAAAGCTAATTTGTGAGTCATCCGCAAAGAAAGCTGTGTACTGATAAAATGCTGGGGAGTTGAAAGGCAGAGGATTTGATTTAGATATTCACTGTCGGACACTGGGCACACTGCTTCAGGAAAGGAAGGAAGGTGTGGCGGTGGGATACACATCATATTGAATATATGTTCGGACATATTACGACATGGACCACCTTGTCTTGTCGTGGAAAACCTTAAATCGCAGCAGTGTGCGACCCCAGAAAGTCAGACCAGAGCCCAAATTTCATCGCGGCAACAATCTTACCCAGCTAGTTTGCTAAGCACCTGTTCTTTTCCTGCCAAGGCCTGACTTGCGTAGACATAGATTAGGAGTCGTTAAGCTTCGCAAGTTTGTTGAGTTTGAGCAATTCTTCCCCAGACATCTTGCCCACAGGCTGTGGGATGGGAGGAGCGCTTGCCGCAAAGCGCTTCGCAAGACAGGCTTACGGAGGTGCCACTTAGTGATGCCAACGTAGAGGACGGTCTTTGAAACCCTCTGAGTTTGTTGATCACATGGTGAAGCGAAGCTTCCATGTTTAGAGCACACAACATCACAAGGTGATGCTTGGATAGGTGGTGCGGCTAAGTCCGCGAAGTAAGTGTTGGCCTGCCAATAGCAGAAGTCAGGTTTCACGATTTTCACAAGTTGGTATAGGTATCGGTCTCTGGCAGCGTTCCGTGACCAATCTCAGCTCGCTGTGCTGCGCTTGTAGCGAATACCTTAGGGTGGCTGACGGGCTGTTGTGGATCATTGGATCGTAAAATGAAGTCTGCCTTGCCTGCCACAGGTCCAGTACTGTCCAGGACACCTGTACTCACACAGATCCTGAGTTGTCTCAGGTCTACGACCTTCGTGGCCGTGCCGGCATCACTGATGCCGTTCTCCTGCCTGATGCAAGATCACTGGAGGCAGTTTGAACATGTGACTCGCTTCGAGAGCAGACTCCACCTTATTTCGGCCCCTGCTTTGTGCTCTGTCCTGTCAGGACCCCTTTGCCATCAAGCGACGCGATGACACGATGAGCGTGGTCGCCCTGGGCTCGCCTAGTTCTCAGATGTTGCCGAGCACGCTGACAAACTTTGTAAGCGAGGCACAAGTTCAACATTTTTCAATTCGAGGCAACCGTTTCTGTCCATGCACAGCCTCCGACATACGGCTGTGGACCAAGTCGAACGCGGACATTGTCGGCCGAATGTTATGTAGTGCGCTCTCGAGGCAAGCAGCTCAGGCTCCTGCTCTTTTCTTTGCAGACTATGCAATAGCAAACACGTGCGGCGCAGCTTACAAGGAACAGAGCAGAGACAGATCTGTTGGAATCGCTGTCATCCTGGTACCAGCGCAGACCAGTGCTGTGCAGAGCAGGCCCCGGCAGATCGCTGCTGGGAACTGCCGCCTCAGCTCTTGGAAGCTATGCCAGGCCGGCTGGTGTCTCGCACATGTTTGGTGTGGCTATGGCGGCTGCTATGCGCTTGTCCCGGGCCAGTAGCTGCAAGTATCAGCTTGCGCAGGTTTCGAAACGGGGGTCTGCAATCACTCCTTCTAAACTCTTTGTTTTCAACTTGACTAAATAGTGTCTATCTTTCCGACTTCTTCCGGAACACCAGCTGGCCCGAGCAGTGGCACAGCCTATTCGGCCTATCCGTTTCAACCCTCCGGCTGACCTGAGTCATATCCCCCCAGAGCTTATTATTGGCTAAGCCCCCCTGTTCCGATACAGAACACGTGAGCCTACACGTGGGTCCACCATCCGAGGCCTGCTTGTACAAATTCGGCAGGTCCTGGGTGGCCTCGCGCAACACGAGTAGTGGCCATCCCCAGCGTGACCGAGGAAGCCATTGCAAGTCTGAATTGGCAGCATAACGGTGGTGAAGATCGCTTGTTGTGCTGGGATTAGCTGCAGGTGCCTTCCGGAAGTTCCTGGGTCACAATTGCATTATATACACTGCTCGAGTAAATCGGGACAGCTGTGCTCACGAGTGCTTGACATGCTAGCCAAGTACTTGTACTTCGAGCATCTTCGAGCATTGTGCAGGTTGACCTCTTGTGCAGTTGATCATGAGTCATTGCCTTTGTCATCAATGTTCCTGAAGTCGAAAACACCAGCATACTTGTGTGAAGACATCGCCGAGTCCTGCCGATCATTGTATACATTGTATGTAATTTGTTTGTTTGCGATTTGGCACGGCGCTGGAGGCTGGAACATTCACAGGGGTGATGAGGTAGCCAGGCTGTGGATTTCTTGGCTTCCTCGGGCAAGGGAAGCGCAAGCCTGCTAGATTGAATTTGCTTAAACGCTTGGCGAGCTTCACAGGAGCAGTGCTGAAAATCGCGGGCTTCGCACAAGCAAGCGAGATCCAGGCTCTCCGTACGTTTTGTCTCGCACGTGCCCCGCGGACGCTGGCGAAGTGCCAGGTAGCTCCCCGCCTGAGCACGGAACTGCCTGTCGCGGCCAAGTTCATTGCCAAGATCTCAGTGACTAAGTGCCGTACAGAACTATGGCTCCACGATGTTCGGACAACTGCCGCTTACTCAAGCACCGGTAAGTACCGCACTTGGTGCTGCCGATTTCCGCATGATCACAACGAAGCATTCGAATAGTTTGTTGCGGCCAGTTGAAGATGTTGCGCTGGCTTGTAAACTCAGCCCAGCGCACGCCTTTCGCTTTTGTCTGGTGTACGTAGTTAAGTCTAGTTTCGATGGAATTTGAAACATGTTGAAACCATGCGGTGTCCCGAGCCTTGGTCGTCATATAGCCAAGCAGATCCAAGCAGTACCATGGTGCGATTTCGCACTGTGCTTGAGTGGAGACCAAGTCCGACCCCTGCCACGGAACCTCCCAAATCCAAGCAGCAGGCCGGAGGAGAGCGCACTAAAGGTCGCATAGTCCCTTCTTGTTTCTTCGATGAGCACACACAATTGTCTCTCTGTTCCAAGTCTGTGAGTTGCCCGAGGATGCCTCGAGGCAAGGGGAGGTCCTCATTCCGGCACCCTGGAACTCAAGCTGGCATCCCAGCTTTGGTTGCCTTGCGCCTTGCAGCAGACCGTAGCTGTAGCTAAGGCGACTCAACGAGACTGGCTGCAACCTGCGATGCTTACGGTCTTTGCCCGAGTGGAGCAGACGCAGATGGAAGACCCTTGGCGCGGCAGCAGCCGCCACTCTTCCAGCCTTTGCGTTTGCCTGAGGCCGTGTGGCGTTGTTCTGCCTGGAGTCCCTTCGATGTCTCCACTTGTGGAAAGGCCGCTGCTCCAAGCGCGAGCTTGAATTGTGATATCAAGTCGCTGTTTGCAAGCACAGAGCAGCAATGAAAAACTCGATCGCCCACCTTTGCAACCTGCTGTTGTCAAACTGCGGGATCCTTTGTTGTTGATTCACCTATCGGCCATCCACGCGCATCAACATTGCAAGCTCAAGCTTCAGTTGTGCGTAGATTTAAGGCCGGGGAATGAAACAGTGCAACGTGTGGGCCTCCAGACAGGCTACCGGGATGCGCAAGTTGCGTGGGTTTCTGCAAGTCCGGCTCTCAGGCTCTCAGCTAGCCGCGCAGATAGATATGACATGAAGATGCCAGTTGCACTTCGGCTTCGACAGTTCCCTTGGAGGGCTGCCTCCGAACTCGAAGCAACCAATCCCAACACTCCACTTTGTCGGACCGCAGATGTATCCAACAGGCCATCGAACAAACAAAACGAGCAAGGTAAGCAACGCAAACAAACAGCTAAGACAGCAGCGCACGCATGCTCACACGTGCACAGATACAACCCGACGTATAACCTCCCACTCATGCACATGTCATCCCGGTATATTCCAGTTGATGATCGCAAGTGTGGCAACTGTTGGAATACCAAGGCAACATATCCGCTTGAGTGTGACATAGTACGATGTCGAGGACGGAAAAGGCAAGATTCGGCAAATGTGGAATTACAACACCAAACAATCAACAAAATCAAGCCAGAAGCATGCACAGACAGATGCGGGAGAAGTTTTGACTCCACGGTTTCGGAAAGAAACCTCGACGAGGGATAAGTTCCCACGGATTCGCACGAAGCTGCGGGGAGGTGGACTATAAGAGACTGGGCTGGCGGCACGTCCTCGGCCGCAGATGCGCGACTTTCTGATCGACATGCTCACCCCACGGAGTCCATCGGAGTCCCGCGCCCCAACGGCTGAGTGTTGTTTCTTTGTGAAAGCTCTCAGGCCTTGCGAAGGCAAGGCATGCTTCGGTAATGGCTTTGCTTGGCATATCTGGGCATGTACTCGGCGCTGGAGCCTCGCAGGCAGTTGCAGGAGAAGGCCATGAACACCGCAGCAAGGAGTTGTGCGCAGATCAATCTGAGCCTGGCCGTGGTAGCAGCGTCGCAGACTGCGGCCGAATAGATGGCAGAAGCCGCTGAGTTGAGGACCACACAAGCCCAGACTTGCCTGGTGCCCGGCCAGTACCGGTGCTGGGTTGGTGCGTTGCTTTGTGTTGCTGCTTTCTCAGGCCGGGCCTAGTGATCTATGCCCCGCGACGAGGGTTGCTGGAGAGTGGCGCTCAGCATCCTCTCAGGTCTGTCAGGCATGTGGGTCATTGGCGAAAAGGCAGGGAAAGCATGCTTCGGGATTCACACTTTTCCGAACGAGTACTGGTCACAGTATAAGTAGCAATTGGCAATAGCAGCAGCTATAGCACTAGCAATGGCAAAGCTGTTAGTCATAGTGCTGGTGATCCATGGTTACAGTCATGGTGATAGCGAGAGTTAGAGTATTCGCAATAGTCGTGTTCACTTGACGCTGACAGTAATGGTTGAGATTGCACCGCCAGAGATCAGAGATGGCACGCTCGCCAGCGGATCGAGCTCGAGCATCTCGAGCCATGCGTCATCAGTGGACAGCTCGTAGCTGTGCGTTGCAGCGCTGCATGATCCTGCCCAAGGCTGTGGCATCTTTGGTCGCCGACTGGTCCCAAGCGCCTCGCTGCTAGCTGTGTGGGTTGGTGTCCCAGCTAGTGGAAGCGCAAGGGGCAGACATGCAGACAAGTGCAGTCTTCCAACGAGCCTGAGGTTCGGACTGCATTCTCCTGTCGCAGGGTGGTCGTGCATACCTTTGGTGGCCGAGTGCCCAGGTTTGTCAGTGCCGCTCAGGCATAGAGTATCTTGGTCACGAAATTAAAGCAAGTTCTTCACTATACGACACTCAAGGCAAAGCGGCAAGGTGGATCGAGTGCTTTGGGTACCAGCCTTTGCCTCCCTCGCGTGTGTCCTGTCTTGTGAACGTTGCCTGCCAGCCCGCCGCTGGAGCTGCGACTCCGCCGAGCTGCCCCCTAAGACTCATGTGAAGCTTGCGCCAATGATCTACGGTGATCGGCCACACCTGAAGAGGTATCGATCCAGACAGTGATGCTTTCGATTCTGCCAGTGCCTAATGCTGCGAAAATTCGTCACAGTTCTCCTGAAGCTGTGATTGTAAACCGCGAAGAGCACCTGCTTGTATCGCATTGTGCTGACATGGTGTCACATCTTGGAACTTGCGGCAGGCACAGGCTGCACTTACGCTAGCCACTATTTTTCATAACTGCACCAGGCGGACAGTCAGGACACATGAAGACCGCAAGATGCGACGATCAGCGGCCCGGATGCAAAGAGCTGTGGCAGTGGCAGGCGCTGCCTGCCGAGCAGGTGTTGCAGACGTCGCGCTCAGAGTTTGGACCCGTGGAGATTGTTTTGGGAGATCCCCGCACCCAAGTAACTAATGCAAAACGGGGGGGGGGGGCTGCTCTTTCGGACCATTTCGGACCGTTAGTTGCAACCCAAGGAATCACGTAAAACGCGGGGGTCGGGATCAACATGGGAGTTGGAAGCCAAGGCATGCTTTGGGCAGTGGGCAGCGCCATCCTTCCTGCAGACGGAAAATGTCGCCGCTTCGTCTTCCAGCATTGTGGAATGAGCGGCACAGAAGCCAGTAGCTTGTCTGTTTGCAGGAGCTCAACCGCACAATGCAACAGAAGGAAATCTCGGAGAAGGCACCTTGGTGGTGGAACTCGACCCGCCTGACAAATTCGGCGCCTGTTGAAAATGAACCAGTTTTCGGCATCCCTACAGTAGAAACCATATTAAGATGCGACCAGGGCCCTGGAGGGTACAGATTCGGGAGTTAGGCGCTCTTTCTGCAAACTGCAAACGCCTTCCAACATCAAAGGTGATTGTTGGACAGTTTCAGCCCCGTGCTACAGGTTGTATCTAGCGAGCTCACTGACACGCTGTAATGCCCGTGTTCACGTCTCACATAGACATTAATTACGCTGGATGCAATGCATGCTGTCCGCTGAAATAGATTATGAGAGCAGTTCCGTTGACGCTGTTCGACTGTTTTTGTGTCTTTGTATGATTTGCTGTCGCACATGTCGCTTTCGAGCTGGCCACATTGATGTGCTTCACCAGGTCCTGCGGAACACCAACCACGAGAAGAGGCAGCTTCAGGAGACTCTGATCTGTCTTTCCATTTTCAAGATCACCAGGATGTAAGGCATCCGAACTGCACATTGAGAGTGGGAGGTTCATGCAGAAGTGCAGAATAGTGAAGGTGTACAGGGCTAGGCCCGGGTTGTCCCAGGCCCTCTGAGGGCCTTGGCGTCTCTCCCCGTGTGCCTCTGATGGCTCATGTGCGGCGGGTGCTGCGCGAGGCTTGGAGAACCGTGAGACAAGCTTCGCCACCCACGGTATTAAGTTCTTTTTCGAGACATGCGAAACTGATCGATGAATGGAGTTACCTGCAGCGTCCGGGACCAGCCCTGACAAGACTGGCTGCTGCAGAAACAGAGGCTGCACGAGCAACTTTTGCTGCTGCTAAAGGTTTTCGGGAAAGACTGGAGGCAGAAGCAGCAAGTCTGTTGGTTGCTGACAATGTCGCGTCCGAGCTTCAAGGTCCGTTCACGTATTACCAGAGGCACAGCCCTGAAGGTTTCTTGCTTTTCTGCCGAATGCCTGTTGGAAGCGATCAGGTTGAAGAGGTCCTGCTTGACACCGCCAAGCTCGCTGAAGGAGAGAGCTACGCAGATGTTACTGCCTGCAAGGTGTCTGATGATCATAGCCTGTTGGCGTACATCGTGGACTTACACGGCGATGATACATTCGAGTTGCGGCTACGCAGACTTGACAAGGACTCCCAAGCTGCAAAAGAGGCACGTTTTCCAGACATCCGCAGCGTGGAATTTCTGCAACATCGTTCTGATCTTGGTGAGGTAAGCCTTCTGGCTGTGCAAGTAGACCCGACAAGCAAGCGAGCATATCAAGCGTTACACTTGACAGTGCATGCGACGGGTGACCAATCCTGCAAGACGCTGTGGGAGGAGACCGATGCAGCCGCATATCTGGAATTGTATCGGACTAAGGACCGGGCATATATTCTGGTTTCGTCGAATACGAAGGACACTTCAGAGGTTCGTCTGGCTAAATGTGGACGGTTGGAGGGTGACAACCTCGTCCTGAAGCCGTTGCTTGCAAAGACATCTGGTGTGGAGTACTTTGCTGAGCATCGGGACGGCTGGCTTTATGTTGTCAGCAATCATGAAAGGCCGGACTTTATGGTCTATCGAGCTTCTGTCGATGAGATTGAGAGAACAGAGGGTGCATGGTCGTGCCTGGAGCCAGTTTTCACGCCCCCGGGCAAGTTTCATGTAACTGACGCTGACCTGCTGAGTAGATGGCTGGTGCTTTACGGGCATGAGGCTGCTGCACCGAGAATATGTGTAGTTTCGTTGTCTGAAGACCGACGCCTGTCCGGCAATTTGCATTCTTATCTGGTCAACCTGCCGGAAATCGGATCCGTGGAGCCAGGCATCAATGCTGAGGCAAATGCGGATCTTATTCAGTACACCTTCAGATCTCCAGTGGAGCCCGGTTGTACCTTCGAGTTGGATTTGGCCAGTGGGCACCCCAAGATTGTAAGCCGGTGCACGGTCAACCACCCAGAGCTGTTGCAATCCTTGCAATGTGAACGAGTGGAGTTTCCTAGCAGAGATGGAACAATTATTCCTATCACTCTCGTACGGCAATCCTCACATGCTGCAGGTAATCCCGGGATGCTTCCGTGTTTGCTCCAGGTATATGGATCCTACGGCACTTGTTTCTCACCCGATTTTAGATCAGAGCACATAGCTCTTCTACGACGCGGCTGGGCGCTGGCTTGGGCTCATGTCCGCGGAGGTGGCGAGAACGGACGAGAGTGGCACCAAAGCGGACGACAATTCAAGAAACAAAACTCCGTGCTCGATTTGGTAGATGCCATGAAATATCTGCTCGCTCATGGAATTGCAACACCTGGCTGTTTGTGCTTGAAAGGGTCGAGCGCTGGTGGGCTGACTGTGGGCACGCTTTTGAATTCGCACGCGGATGCCGTTCTTGTAGGGGCCGCCATACTGGAGGTTCCCTTCGTGGACACTCTTACGAGCATGATGGACTCAACGCTGCCCCTCACTGTACATGAGTTTGAGGAATGGGGAGATCCTCAGGACATAGAGCATGAAGCAAACATTCGCTCGCTGTCCCCTTTCGAGAACCTCGGATCCCACCGCTATCCGCCGGTATATATCTCATGCGCCTCCAACGATGCAAGAGCGCCAGTCTGGATGTCGCTGAAGTATGCTGCACGCATGAGAGCAAGAAGCAGCGGCCTCCTGGACAGACGACCTGGCCTCAGTTGTTCAGTAGAGTCAGTAGAGACATGTTGCTTACCACAACATCGTGTCCCCAACTACGAGAACAAGCGACTCTACCCTCGTCTGATTCTCGCCTCATCAAGCTTGTCTGCCGAATCGATTGTTACGCAGATGAAGTTCAATAGGTGGCTCCTGCCGTCCACGAACAGCGACGCCACTCTCTTCAGTAAGCTGTGTGTGCTGTGTGCGCTGGGACCTGAATGCTTCTGCAGTGGGTAGTAGAGTGGGCATGAGCTGCCATAGCTGGATATGGGTGAGCTAACATCAAAGACCTGGATGTCACACATGTTCTCAAGGTGCCCAGGCTGAGATGCGCCTTGTCCTAGTCAGCGTCGTCGTAGTCGTTTACCTTTTGTCAAAAGCAAAGTGAACACAGCGCGCACAGCGGTGCTGTTGCTGCAGGTCTGCGACTGCTCGAATAAAGTAGCGGCAGGAGGGCAGAGGCGGCGCGTTGGGCGTCGGCCCTCTTGGCCGGTCAATCTTGAACTTCGCCAAAAGCTTCAGCAAGAGCTGAGAGCTGCTCCATGCGATCAGCCCACTCATGCAATCCACGGATCTCAGGTATGTATTTTGGTGGTCTTTGTTGGGCTCCTAAAGTAAAGGACAGTAAAGCATGAAGGAGCATCCGATTCAGGTGGCAGCCGCCGGCGCAGCTCCGATGGTGGCTCTGGTGACAATGTAGTTGTCTACTGTTCGGATTCAGGGCATGCCGGACCGGTAAGTTGGCAGGAGCGCGACGAAGAATTCAGCCGACAAGTGAGCTTCTTGCACAATGCTCTTGGTCTGGAGAAGATCTGAGTCAGAAAAGGATGCCGACCGCTTCATGATTCCAGTTAGTAGATGGGACCCTGGGAATCGGAAGAAGTGGCTGCCCGCCACATGCTTTGCGAAGGAAGTCTCTCGATCAATGAGTCTGCCCGTAGAGGCCACAGGCCATAGATGTATAATACCTCGAGTCACAAGAAACGCTTTGGTTAAGTTCATAGACTATAGACAATAGATGCTCTTAGCCCCTCAAGCTAGTAGGTAATAAGGAGTTTTGCTGTACCGCAAGCTCTGCGCTTGCTGACGCTTCCAACTATCACAAGCATGCTGCCTGTCACAAGCATGCTGCTGATGTGCCGAAGGAGCAGCTGATGGAAACCATATCCGGCTTCACGGAGGCCGATTTCGGTGAATTTCTGTTGCATGTCGTGTCTGAGACCGCTTAGTAATGGAATATCGCCGTTGCTCCAAACTCAAACCACAACGGTGATGGGACAAATTCGGGACGTTCTCGCTCTTTCGCATAATCTGCTTCTACATATTAGCAGCGATCACGGTTTCCAGCAGATAGGGCAAGGTCAATGGAGGACGGACGATGGAGACACCAACGCAAGACGCTAGAAACTGTGGTGAAGTCAGGAACCAATACAATCACCTTACACTGAAACGGCTAGCCTGTAAGCAGCTACACCTGTCATTTCATCCCTGCAGGATCCTGCAGGGGACTATTTGCTCTGTCGATACTGCAACCTGTGCACAGTGTCTGAAACAGCGGCGGACACTGCTGAGAACACCGCCACTGGATCCCCAAGGGGCAGCGTACGAAGCCCTGAACCCTTCAGGCAGCCTCCTTGGTCCCGAAATTCTTCACAAGTAGCCGCTTTGTTTTGGCTCCAGCACGACCAGACATACCAGACTGTGCCGCTCGACAGGTCATCGAAGGTCTTCAGGATCAGTGTGACGGCGCAACAAACGTACCATCCGCCGATCGCTTGCAGGCCATTCAAACGGGTTGTAGCGAAGTCGGAGATGGCTCGGCTAGGCTTTGCTCTCCGCCGTTTCCAAGTGAAGCCGTGAAGCCACTGCAAGCAGATGCCGAGCTACAGAGAGCCTCAGAGTCTTTGAGGTGATAGGTGCAGCAGTGCGGCAACCTCTTGGGCTGCTTTTTTGTAGGCCCTGCGGCTTTGCCGAGTGCGAGTGCAGGAACAGCTGAAGGAGATCTCCACGTCAAATCGGTCGCAGCAGGCACTCGTCAATGCTTGTGTAGGCCACCCCTAGGAGCTTGACTGGAGCAGCGGCGAGCATCAAAGAACATCTACTAATTTTTCAGTCCGCAGGGCATCTATACTGGCAGCAGATACTTCCAACCTTCGCACCTTTGCAAGACCGCAGTCAGCGTCTGTTGCGTAGCATGCCGAGCCCTCGCGCAGAAGCATAGCACGCAAGCCATGACAATCCAGTCGAGCATGGTGCTTTGATCCTTCGATCTGCCTGTGCTTTCGGAGCAATGTCATACATAGCCTCCAAGAAAGGCAAAGGATGTTGACTCCCCTTTTCGCATGCCCCGGACTTACACCTTCAAAAGAGAGGATTCCCTGAAGTCCTAATATTAGAAGCAAAGTTCACCTTGCGTGACTCTTTACTTTGTGTGTGTTTGACTCGCAGATATAAGTAGGCGATCTGTCGTTCACCCCCAGCCAATTCGAACTAGGGCTCGAATATACATAAGTGCTGCAGCGATTGAGTGGTTGAGTTCGGTTGAGAGAGAGTTGCTATTGCAGTGCCCAGTGCCCGCATGAAACACTCAGTTTGAGCAGGCGATAAAAGTGTTTCTTTGCAGCAAGTTGTTTCGACACAGGCGGAGGCGGAATCTTTGAGGACCTGCGGACAATACCGAAACACATCCGCCTCGAATCTCCAGCTCATGTGTGATGGTTTTGGGCCCTGTTGAAGGATGCACTTGGAGAAGCTCGGCGAGTCGAAGAAGGTGCACAGGGCTAGGTAACGTGGCAAGCGCCTCCTTTCGCCGCTGCTCAGCTTGCCGAAGCTCGTGCGCGCACTGGAGCCGGCGCTGGCCCGGAAGCGCAGGAAGGGAGCGTTGGAGCAACTCCTGTTGTTTGCGACTGGGAGCGGCTAGCTGCAGGTGCATCAGCTGAAGGACGAACGTGATATGCTCAAGGCCCACCTCATCGTCGGCACCCTTCCTCAGCCCTGATGTAATCATTTGCTCGGGTAGATTCAGGGAGTACGAGGCCCTGTAATTGGTGAGGATGAAAACTGTATTGCATTCAACAGCTTCAACCAAGATAATGTAGTGCCAACAGGCTACAGTAGCAGCTGCCTCGTTGCGGCTTGCACCCCCATTTCGTGTAGTACTTAAAAAGGGGCGTTACCTGGGTCTACAAGGGCAGCGTAATGTCTTCAGGAGGGGTTGCAAGATTGGGTCGATTGAGGATAGGAACTTTGTTGTGGCTGTTTTCAATGTCTCGATCCCTCTGAGAATTGCTAGTTACTGTAGCGTGTATAGTTACTGTAACCAGAAAACTAATAAATAAACGCAAGCGCTAGAACCATTGGGCCATCGAGGCCAAGACCTGATAGTGCGCAAGAGGGGGTGCTGTCCATGTATTCTTCGGGCTTCGCGAGGAGTTGCCACAAGAACCCTGGACTGGGATCCATGTAGCACACAAGTCCACGCATGATATCGTAGGATCATGCGATCGTTCTTGATAATCTGCCGGTCTTGCTGTCTAGCTCTGCAAGAACACAGGATAGTTCCGGCTCAGGCTCCCAGAACCTTATTGTACGGACGAGGGTGCTGTGTACTTTTGTTTACCAAATGAACCTCGAAGTGGCGATCCACATAGCGGCAAAGCAGACAAGTTCACAGGGCCTCCGTTTTGTAGTACTTTATGCACATCATACCGTAGGATCATTCTATATCACGCTTGGCCGACATGGTCGCAGGTGTACTTGGACTCGGGCTCCTGCCGATCCTGTGATAAGAAGGAGGGTACAACTGGTAGTACGTGGAACTGGACCAGGCACTCACACAGACCGAACCGGGCAACCCTTCCAACCAACGTACAGACACACCCCTCCGTCAAAAGGATGGATGGGGATGCGCCTCGGCGCGAGTTGGGGGCGAACCTCTAACTCTTACCCCGAGCAAAGCAAAGCAAACAGAGTGCATGAGCTTGTTGACACATGTTCCAGAACCCATCACTGTCGAACCCCCCTGTTTTCGTTTCGGTGGTCCTTAGGAGTCGACAGGGCGACATGTAACTGTGACAGGGCGCGTTTTTCTACATTGAAGCGGGGTTCATGTAAAGATGCTGATGTATCCGCAGCTTCAGTGCAACAAAGCTGGTGGAGCACAAACGCAGGTGCTCCTTCGCCAAAGAACGGAGCTATTGCATGCCAGTGCCAAATCAGCAGTCCACAGCGTGCGAAGGACGCTGCAGGGCAAGAAGATGCAAGCTCACCATGGTTTGCGTTCGCCTTCTACTTGCCGAAAAGACAGTGTTGCTTTGGCCATCAGCCCGGTCTAGGAACACGGGTCCGTATTATGATGGAACGGGTCGTTATCGGGAGAGAACGAGAAGGAGAGAGTGAGAGTGAGCAGGTACTCTTCCTACAAGCGATGCTTTGTGCTGTTCGGGTCGGAGTGAGCAAGCTGTGCCCGCAAGATCCCGCAAGTAGGGGGCATGCCTTCAACAGACGGGAGTGCCAGTACAGGGGACTCGGCCCTCAAGCCTGGAACAAGCAACACGAGGGATGCGACAGTATGTGGCAAGTGTCAGAGGATTGAGATACTTCATGGGAAAGCGGAGTGCTGAGTTGTCATCCACGACAGGCCCGCTTGGAGGAGCTGAGCTCCAACACTGCCACGGTCCAGCATGACCAGCAAGAGCAGGTCGCCCCACCCCCGGCCCTAGCATTTGGCGTGCACAGACGACGCCGGAAGGATGTCCCTGAAGGAATGCAGGCTTGTGACGGTCTCTCACGGGTTATTCCAGCCGTCCTCAGACAACTGGTTCCATGCTCCAGCGCAGGTGTGCAGCGGTGCTGTGCAAGTTATTTTTATGTTATCCTTCCTTCATTTGTCATTAGTATCTGAAAGTCGCGATCGGCCAGTCTCAGTCACGCAGCTTGCTGTCGGTACTCGAAGCCGTGCGCAGGTTCACACACAGGAGTTGAAGCGACTGCGGCAGGAGACTGGGCCGGGTTTGCCCGCCAACTCTGACTCTGTGAAAGTTGGCTCATCGAGATCGCAGAAGTCTTGGATTCCTTCCTTGGGCACTGATTGCACAGCTGCCGTTACAGTACTTCGCAGCTAGTAGTCACATCAGCTCTCACCTTAGATTAGTCGCTCACCTGTGTTGAAAGTCTTTCGCAATTCCGACCTGGAGTGACAGGCACGCCAGGGTGGAAGCAGCACTTACCAGCAAGCCGGGTAGTTGCTTCCAGAATGCACAAAAATACGAGCGTCGCTTTCTCGGCAAGGGTTGACCGCAAGGACACAGCTGGCCATGGGAGTTGCTGAAGACGCTTTCCTTCTCCTGCAGATCGATGGCACTAGGAGCAGAAGCAAACTCTGTGTTGCAGGACGTTGAGTCCCTCCACAATGAGAAGGAACAGCTTCGCCGACAGCTGCAGGACGACTTCCTGGGGCTTCTCTGAAACCACTTCGTGATCCTTCCTGCTTGCTTTCCTTGTATATTTAAGCACGTAGCCGCAGGAGTTTCGCTGTATTGCCTTTGGGCAGACAGTTTATTGTTGATATTTGTTGACTTTGACCGTCTGCATCTGTCAGCAAAGCTATCAAGACACGATTTTAAGCACGCCACAAGTTCACAAACCGCACTCGCAAGTATCATGGGATTTTGTGGCAACTGACAGAGTGATGTCTTCAGGACCAAGACAAGGAAAGACAAGCCTCTGACCCAGTGGTCCAGTAAGACACTGCAGTGGACAGGACATGATTCCATCCCGGCCTGCTATGGCATCCAGTCTTTGCCAACGTCTGTGATTTATCTACGAAGCCCCAAGACTTGGCTATTGCTTGCGACGCAGCGTAAGGATGGACAGGGCAGTCTTTGCCCATGGGACTGGATAAACGGTTGACCGATGGAAAGACAAAGCGCGATGTATCATGCAACCGGGATTTCGACAGTGGCATGTGATCTAGTTTTCGTCAATGTCAATGCTCTGAGAGGGTTTCTGTCAAAGACGGTGGATGAATCTCCTCAATACCATCGACAAACCGACTTCACGCACAGCCATCGGGGGTGCTGAGGAGCTGCAGGACAACTTTCTGTACGTGAAGACCCAGCTTGACAAGGCGGCGAGGGCCGCGCTATGTTTGCCACGCTGCGTTGTTTTGGCTTTCTCGGGTTTGGTTAGCCGAGTGATCAGGTTCAAATGAAACAGGCCGAGGCTGCCCAGAACGGGTCCTCCGATGGGCAGAAGGCGACCGTCTGGTGCGAGTCGCTTCATTCATTGAACGCTGCAATTGCCAGGAGCTCCAACGGCACAAGCAGACACTGCAGAGCATTTCAGAAGAAAGGCTGCTGGAACCATCTCTTGCAACCATCACGTCGTAGTTGTAATGGTGGTAGTAATTGCTTTGTAATGTCTAGCAGTAGTTGTTGTGGTCGTGGTGGTGGTCGTGGTCGTGGTCGTCGGTGTCCTTGTTGCCGTTGGTGTCCCGGGTGTCGCAGTCGTTGTTGCGGTCATTGTGCAAAGCCGACTGATATCGGATATCGCTTATGCTTACCGAGCAGGAACAGACTTGCAGCTCGGATGGACAGTGCACTCAATGTTGCAGAGAAGGACGTGTGTTGCAAATTGTTTGCATCGAGGCGCTGTGCATTGTTGGTTCAGTGCAGGAGAAGGCATACCATGAGCAGTCGGTCGAGCGCGTGACCACAGCACACGCCTCAATTGCACTTCTAGAGTTCGCCCACCTGCTGTCCTGACAACATTGTTGTAGCTATCGATTGAGTCATCAGTTCATGGCCTCTTTGTCACCATCGTCTGTTACTACATTAATATAGTTGACAGGGTAGCTCACAGCTGTGTTTGGCATTGGGCCTGCAGTGTGACGATTTATCATCCCTGGCTTGTCGCAGTGTGGTTATTTGTCGCAACGGAACGGAGGCGAATGCCAGACTGATGGAGGAGCTGCTGTGGCCCTGTGTTTCTTTCTTTGTTTGATGGTGTGTAAGCAATGTGCTCTGAGGAGCGAGATCGAATTTCAAAGGAAGTTGAACGTTTATCTTCTCTGCGCCACAGCCTGGAAGGTCAGGAGTCATCCCTTCACGTCGGCCTGTCTGGAAGGTACGCTGAGTCTGTCCGCCAGCTGCAGGCCAGTCTTGCGGATGCTCAGCCTGGTGCCCGGCCGTTCACGCGATTTACAGGAGGCACCCCGGCACCCCGGCTCTGACAAAGGTCTGGGAAATTCGAGTCCGATGCTGGCCAGACTGACCCTGTGCGCCTGCGCATCTGTGACAGCAGTTAACTGCCAGTGGACGCTGTACCTTGCCAGGCTGAGGTGGCTCTGTTGAGGTCTGAGGCAGAGGATTTGGATGCGATGCTGCGTGAGAGGGATGAGGCGCTGGTGATGGTCAGCTGCTGTGTGGGCCTGTGTGCCTCTGGGTGCAGGAGAACGATGCGTTGAAGACGCGCATCCGGAAACTTGCAGTATCGTGATCTGAGACTTCAGCAGCAGTTTCACCACGCGTGCAATCAGGTTCTCAGTGCCACAACCTGACAGCCCAAATCCGTTAAGTCCAGTAAGTAAGTCGATGGACAATCATGGATCCTTTCGTTTGAGCATATCATGCAGACCTGGTGAGGCCAGAACCCTTTTCTTTAATGCACAGCTGTTGCAGCCGGCCTCCCTGGTGAAGTTGCCAAAGGCAGCGACAGCATCTCAGTGAGAAAGAACCGATCGTGGGCAATGCGGCGTACAGGGATAGTCGATTTAACGTTCCGCATCATGTACTTGAAGTCCATGAGCAGTTCCAGCGATGAAGTATCATGGAGTGTGCTGCAGCCATGCGACACTCATGTCTACATCCTAGGTATGACGTCAAACAGGTCTGACATGTCTAACCACACTGTCTGGACGGCTTACGAAATTCAATGAATCTGCACGGAGGTCGCTCAGCCTGTGTAGAGTGTATGGATAGAATCGTGCATGTGGCGAGCAATGAGCAATGCTTCGCAACTGGGTACTGCCAGCCTTTTCCTCGGAATCTGGATTCATCGCGTTGTGCTTGTACGGCGGGGTTGAAACTTGAAACTGATGCCGATTCCCGTCATTCACGTGGCGAGATGTTTCTCCCATTTGCATCGGACGTCAGCATCTGTCACACAAGACCGAAGCAGCCTGAGGTGGTCCTGGCGCTGCAGATACAGGCGCGACGTCGCCAAGATGCAGTCATCGTTCATTGCAGACTTCGGGACATGGCGGTGTGGCAGCGCTGCTCGGAGACCGAGAGCCTAATTCTGGGCCTGAAATGTATCAAAGTCTTTGCCAGGTCGGACAGCAGCAGACTACACTGGACCCATGCAGCCCTGACCTTCCAAATCGCGACAGGGCCTCGGAAAGTAGCTGCAGGCTGCAGGAGTTCGTTTCAGAGCACACGCATCAGTGAGGCCTTGGGCTGCCCACCCTTGGAGGAGGCCTGCACCGACACACCCCGGAGAAAAGCCAGAGAAGCAGCACACGCTGTTGAAAGCGTCCACACCTGTTGCATACAAGCTGCATGATTTTGAATGCCGCACCAAGTTTGGCGCGTGGGACCGATTCCACGTGGCATGGTAGAGCTTTGTGCCACAGCAAAGAGGTTTTAAGAGCGCACAACTGCAATAGGTCGTCGAGCAGTTTCATCGGAGGCAGTTCAAGTGATGCGGTCGAGGTAGGAACATGTCCCCAAATGCAATATGAGATGTTGAATCTATTGCTGTGATCCCCACGGCGCAGTCCCTGCTTCAAAAGCATAGGACACAACTGCTCCATTCTATGGAGCACTCACTTGTTCTTGTAACAAAGCTGCCTTGTCTGGCATGTTCATGATGTTTTGTAATGCTTGTTCAGGTAATTACCGGGAAGAGGTAAATAACAGTACAAGGGCAGGCGGAAGTCGCTCTTTGGCATCATACTGCGCGCTCGTAGAGTGTTCATGGCTTTGATGAACAGACTGTGAGGCAGTCATGCGAGGAGACGTAGGGAAAGGCCACACCCGCGCAAACAGCGTCTTTCATCTTTGCTTCGTTGATGTGCTTCGCTTCAGGACCACAGCTTCTACCATCCAATCGTGCATAACACAAACACAGAGCATCTTTTTGCACGGTTTTGGCCTCCTCGCCTACGCGATAAGTGTATCACGCGCTTCAGTCCCTTCAGTGGCCCTTCAGAAGTTGTTCACAAGATTTCTGAGAAAGCTCCAATATAGTCATAGTCATAGACACGATGAAGAAAATGGCATGTCCACAAAATCTACATTGCAACAGGGTTTTGCAAATGCCCCACTTTCCTGTGCCTTGTGGATGTCCCCAACCCGATACGTTTATGTCCGTTCCCTTTGCTTCCAGGTCTTTTGCGCACGCATCTAAACAAGAATCGCATGAAGTAACAAGTCCTTGCAGGACTCCAAGACACACAGGGCCACGATTCAAGACTAGCATTTTCCCGTGGACAATCAGAGGACGGGTGGCAAAGCAGACTTTGCAGATGGTTGCGACAAGGGGGAAAATACAAAAAGCCGATGGCCAGAAACCACAGTGCCAAATGGACGCCGTGTGGCGTGCTGGCCGTGATCGCACAGCGATAAAGCAGCAACCGGTTTTACTTCCGTTGGGTTCTCGCGCGCTGTCAGGTGATTGAGTGCACTTACTCGGGCAAGCACTGCTATCTATACGATGCTCGCGTCTCAGAGTTTGCAATCCGCATCGGCGCAGCAAAAACCAGGTCACGGTTCGTATGGGCCATACTGCTACATTCTACATCGCCCGGTGACGGTGAGACCGATGAGTATGAATCGGACGTGAGACAGCATTGTGAGACTTTGTGCTTCAAGGCCTTGGAACCTTTCTGTGTGGAGCCCTTGCTGTTTTTTGAGAGTCCCTTTGGGGGCAGGCGAGCTGAAGGCAGGTCAGAATTAGCACTTCTGAAAGACATCTGGCACATGTTGAGCTTCATTTCCAGGCCCGCCTGTCTGTACAACCACCACAACAGCCACCTACACCGCAACATCCTCGGGGGAAGCCGAAATTGCTCAATCTTCTGCTGGAATCGCTGTGTCCGAAGGTGACATTGACTACGACCCAGACGGTCACGGCCTCAAACTCTCTGGCCATCAACGGGGAGCATTAGATCCTTCTACTTGTCGCAACAGGTGACAGGCTTCACGACAACACGGCCTCCAGCCGTCGAATGCAGCGCCCTTCTCAGCAGAGATGTCCGTTGGTGCTTGGAGACTTGCAGGGTCCCTTTGCTGGATCACACTCTGAGGAGACTTCTGCTATGACAATTCCCACCCGTGGCTTGTCAAGTGCGGTTGGTCTGCCTGTGCTTCATGCACGCGGCTGAAGATGGAGGGCTCCGGGCTTCTGCGACGGTCATTGTCGAGTCATTGTAGCACATTGTAGCATTCAGGTGGGGAGTGTGCTTCGATCATCCTTCCGTCCACAAGCGCGGAAAGTACGTCAGGCCCTGAACCACTGGGTCAAGACGTCCTTCAGGCTTAAAGCATACGGCAGTTCGGGCACACGAACTTGTAGACTTGTAGACGGATGAACTGGACAGTTGCCGTCGCACCAGAGGTCGGGAATGCTGGTTGTGACAGCGAGGCTCGAAGCACATGATGGACAAAGGAAGGCAGAATGCCACATGGTGACACTGTTCTTTCACAGGCCGGACCGCAGAAATACAACTTTGCCGCCAACGACGCAGAGACCCTCCAGCACAGGTCCATTTCAGCTGGCTGAGCTGCATTGAGAAGTTCTACGCTGCGCAGGCGCCGGCAATGCCGGAGGTGGGGGCCCCGCCAGGGGCTCGGCTATGGTGCACAGCTGCAGTGTTCACAGATTCACAGCAAGTCGTGAAGTTTGTTGGAAAAGGAGCTAAGTCTACAGCTTCAGGTGTTCGAAGATGACGGATCCTTAGAGGATGCAGCAAACAGTGATCAGACGACCGATGGGGCTTCGTGTGCCTCTCAGCTTCGTCGCTTGCAGTCGGAGTTCATTGGGTAGTTTCGACGTACGCTCAGGACCTCTTCGACTCGTGAGCTGGAGTCGAAGACCTGCCTGCAACTGTTCTGGCCTAAGCTTTCTTCCCTTCCCTTTGCTGCCGTCTTCCGTTTTACATCGAAGGTGCTACAATGCAATCGAGTATCTTGGGTGGCCAACGCTTTGTACATGGCCCAGCTGGCAGTGTCTGCAGACAGAATGCTTGGTCAGACAGGAAATGCAGGCGGAAAGTCACGCAGCTTTAGGAGGGAACATCTGGGAGAGCGACTGCATCGGACCATGCCGAGAAATCGTTTCAATTCACCCTCAACATGATCTGCCGTTCAGAAATCCTGCCTCCCAGGTGGACTTGGCTCAACATTGCTAAGTCGCCATTTGAGGAGTGGATAGGAGTGGAGTCATGTTGTAGAGGTGAAACAGTTGCTGCCTTCCTAGGCCTAGGGCCTAGGATTCTAGTGCTGATTCGTTTGCGGAGAACGACACTTTCTCGTTTTCGTCTCAGGGTTTGTGTGGTGGCTGAATGCCACCAGCATGTGTCTTAGGAGTCGCGTTCTTTAGCGAGTCGAAGTGGATCGAGAGCAGTTGAAAGGCGAAAGGGCCCCATCGCATCGACTGACTTTGGGGAAATGCCCGGCATTTTTTTGGAGCAGAAGTTTTGCAGATCTATCCAGAGATCCAGCTCAGGCACTTGGGCTACCTGCGTGACCTGTCCAGAATGTTCAGGCGAGTGCCCGAATGCGGAATGCAAGTGATGTCATACCCTTTCTACCTTTAGTGAGTCCGCAGGAACTACCGTCACAGCAACCACTACAACAGAAGTTCTACCACCGACGTTTACATTAACGACAACGTTTATATCAGCAGGGCACCGAGTTGCTTCGCTCGTTTCGCCCTTGTCTCCTTCCTGCAACGAATCTTAAGGGCACAACCGGCATTTCGTCCACAACATCTGTTCTGGCCCGAGTTTGTCGAAGCTGTTAGGCCAGATGACAGGAAACGGGATACAAGCGAGTGCTGCTGTGCCTAGACGATGACGCGCACTGCTAGCAGCACAACCAGCTGGACGGAGCCGGGCTCAGATGCGGAACCAATAGAAAGCTTGGGGCTTCTTCTCACAGCCTACCAGCAATATGCCACGGGCCATGTGAGACTTTTGAATTGTCCTGCTTTATGGCTCGTCTGAGACTACCTGGACGTCAACCATTACATCCACGACTACCGACAGGCAGGCACTTGTAGGTCACAGAGTGTTACAGAGCTTTCTGCCATGCGTCTTCTCAAATTTCTTCGATATGTCAGGGCGTGTGCCTCGCCGAGCCCAGTCTTGTCCAGCATAGCCAGAAACAAGGACACACAACTATTTGGCTAACGTACCACTTGTGTTGCACATCACTTGGGCAGGAGTTCTGCGCAAATCTTAGCTGGGGCCCTGATTCATTGCGATGCCCAGTGAGTTGATGAAAACAGCGAGCATCTTGCTGGCTTCGTCGTGATGCATGTGGCACTGAAGGCGCCGGAGATTTCTGTGTTGCCTGCACCTCAATCCCAAAACATGCAGGAGCACGCAAATGTCACAACCTGCGAAATCTGCGACAGTTATGCGCTGCATTGCATCGAAGGCCCAAATTCAAGACCATCCGTGTCTTTACGATGGAGATCTATATCTCGAGTGCCCCAGGCACGAGCCCGCCTCTGAATGCTTGAAGCTCTCTTGGCGGCACCTTCCTCTTGAAGCCTGGGCTTAAGCGATACCAGCAGTTGTGCTGAGTTGTACTGTTATGGTCAAAGGATCAAGGCTCATGGCATTCGGAGGGGGCAGCCCTTTGCACTGGTTGCAGAAATCCTGTGGTTTCGATTTTGGAGTAAGCTGCTTCAAGTCGCCGTGCAGCACTGGAGACCCAGTCCATGATATTCCATGACAACGTTGGCCGAAGAAGCAAGCGAAGCCGCCGTTTGAAAAAGTTCTGTTTTCCAAGACCAGAAATCATCAGGCCCTGCGTCATGGCAACAGTTGGAAGGAATTACAGGAATGATGCGACATTTCATCGACAGTATGAGAAAACGGGTGAAGAGGGATAAAGGGCGGTGGGACAGCAGGAAGCTTCTGTGCGAGCAGGAACAACATTCTGTACAGAGAGCCCCGTCTGCTGCCCGTGCCTGAACTATGCCAGCCGGGACAGCAGACCCAAATCGTTTCGGAGCTGCTTAGGCGAGGTGAGTACCAGACAAAGCCATGCTCTTATTTCGCAGTGGGTAGGCCTGAAGCTGTCAAACTGAACACTCAGGTGTCGAGTCTGCGGGTTCGCAGAAAATGATTGGCAAGATACCGATGCGCTTGCAGGCAGGCTTGCATTTTATCAAATTGCGTCGAATTGCAGTGAAGTTGCGAAGGGTGCCACTACTGTTCAGAAGAGTAGCGCATAAACAGTTGGTAGTAGCATGACATAGCAAGATTGAATGTCGTTGCTGTTTGTACTTCCACCCATGCCACACCACCGTCAGCCTCAGACGAATGCTTTAGATTCCATCTTTGCTAGTCATGAGAGAAATCGAAATCGAGAGCTCTCACGAAGCATAAGGTCCCAGTTTAAAGAACACAAGGGTTCTGATAATGCAACAAAACCGGAACCCAGACTGGAGATCTGTCCAAACCTTTCTTGTTGGCAGGAACCGAGAACCGAACGTTTGAAACAGAACCAAAGGATTGTTGCAAATCACGAGAAGAACTGTTTCGTATGAGAGGCCCGCCACCGAATTTGAGGCATGTTGCTGCAGTGTACATTCCAGCTCACAGACACAAGGGCGAGGCCGGGATGCTGGAGCAGGCGGCAGAAGATACGACGACGTAATTGTTCTTAACCCGGAACACTGGAAAATGCATAAGGTATCAGAGTTTCAAGCATTATCCTGGCTTCTGTGGCACTGCGGCTGCTGAGCCAGCATGGGTGACGGGCCCAGGCTGAACCACTATGGCCACCGAATTTGAGATGTGAGATCAACGGGCATCGCCTGCCGGGACAGACGGGTTCAAGATCTGAGTGACGCGGGTCGGGTGCAAGATATGAGCTTGAATCGCCTAGAGGGTGCGGTTTTAAGATATGCGACCAGCTGGCAACCTTCCCGAACTGTCAGGCTCGAAAGTTTACCCTTCCGAGAATTCTGACTTTCAAGCTTTGAGAGCCGATCGAACTCGGCCACAGCTGAAGCTTGGAGCTGCTGGTCCCATATCTTGAACTCCCATAATTAGGTGATAGCAGTTAGGCTCACATCCTGTCATGGTGAAGTTGTTTTTCTGTCGTGGTGCCAACATTTCTTGTGCGGAGTCTTTTTTCATATCGTGGAAACAACGCGCTCTCCGCCCTCGCATTACACGATGGTGGTTGATTTCTTGTCTCCAGTCGCCCCCTTGTAATACCGTATCTGTCCGTAAGTTGCATCCGCCCCGTCATTAGGCGAGTGTGGTTGATCCCATATCTTGTCTTATGAGTGGGTTGGTGGGATGGGGGGTGGGTGGGAGCGCACGCAAAAACCCGAAACCCATCAATTGCAGCACTCATGCAAGAGACTTTGCGACACAGCTAGTTTTGCAGTGCAAAGTTTCAAGACCATCTATGCACAACTAAGCCGGTGCCATCCGGTGCCTGCGGAAACAAAGGCCAAGCCAGTCTCACACATAATCAAGAAGGAGCTCGTGCCTTTATATCGCATTGTTCCAAGCCCGAGCGCGGACAGTGCTCTAAATTTAAAACGGTGGGATGTGTCGGGTCCCGTCTTTTTACTGCAAATGTAACAGCAGAGCTGCAGCGTAAATTCCACGCTGCTCGTGCAATGATCTCAGGCCAGATGTCCGTCAGCCCCACGCTCAGCTGAGCTGTCGCTGCTTTCGCCCAGAAAGGCTCGCTTTGCAGGTTTCCAGTTCGGGGCGAATGCGCTTTGCACTTACGTTTACGAAGTGGTCAGAAAGCATGTGGTTGTCTTTCCAGCTACTTGATCTTGATGGTCCGAGGATACTTGGAGAAATCAATGAGACCGACATATATGGCTACGGTATCTTTCTCGCCGACAACTGCAGCCGGTCAGATCCCACAAAGAGGAGCAAAGGAGACTGTCACTGTGCTTCCCGTGTGCTAGGCCCGTGAAGAGCGATCCAGTAGGCTACATCGAGAAGTTGCCTGAGCCTCGTCTTTGCAGAATCTGCGATTTCCAGCATATGAGGCCCATGACACGGTTCGACTGACGCATCTCGATAGTTTTCGAGCGACATGTAGTTCTGTGGGCGAGCACGCAGAAGCAACAAGTTTCAGTGCAGCGCCAACACGGTCGGTGCGCTTGTGCTACCAGCACAAGAGTGGGAATTGTACGTCTATGATACGGCTCTGCAACGCAGGCCGCTTTGATGTGAGAGGTGCAGGAAGCACGCGAGCAGAAGGTATCAGAAGGTTTTGACGGAGTGTTGACGGCGAGAATGCAGTCTCGAGTTTGCAGGTAGTGCAGTCCTGAGTCCTTGGCCAAAGGGTTGTGCTTGAGATGTTTCCAGTTTAAGCACATACTTGTAACGTATTGCAGGATTTGACTGAGCTGACTACTGGAGCCGTCCTTGAGGACAAGCGTACGGTGTGCTCCATCCTTGCTTCGACCCGTAGAAGCGAATTCTGAAGACGGGTTAAGGGTTAAGGATTGAAAGTGTGTCCCGAGAATGACTCATCCGCTTCGCCGTCTTTCAGTTGCCTCATGTGAAATGCCCATAAATTCCCAATAGTCTGCCTTGGCCCAGGGATCCGTATCCCTTCGACGAGAGGTGTTGCACCTTGCTGCAGCCTTAGGCCTTGAGCCTTGGGTGCTTCCCCGTGAGCATGTCTACGAGTTTGTCAGTGAGGTTCTTGTCCTGAAAATGCCCTGATCTGTTGACCAAGGAACGCTTATCAGGTGACCGTTGCGTGCTGTGCTAAGTCATCAAAGGGAGGAGCTGGCATATATGCATCATATTCTCAAAGTCGTTGGATCTTGTGTTCAGGTTTGAGTTGCCACCGAACTCTTACAGCGCGATCCTGATGGCGCGGCAACGTGGGTGGATTGCGTGTGCGGAGTCCGTCAAGTTTCAAGTCGGAAGCCAGGTCCGAGTGAACACCTCGCTGGGCTTCCTGCCAGTTGGCGCAGCCACGCCGGACTGATATCTTGTCAACTAACTTACAATTACAAGCTCTGCAGAGCCAGTGTAGCGCAGGAGATCTTTGACATGAACGCGTCAATGATCGGCACGGCTGATGCTATCAGGCAGCCTAGCTGCCTAGCTTCGACTAGCTTCGCTTGAGGAGGATTGGTTGGGTTTCACTGTGAACATGCCTTGCAGGTACTCGCTCAGCTTTTCCCAGGCGCTTTGCTTGCTCGTGGTACTGCCTTGGGCTCTGATCCTTCGATCTGCCCCGGCAGCGTGCAGCACGGAACTTCTCCAGAATTTGCCGCAGCTTCGGCCCGTAAGGTCCCAGATGACAGCTTACGCTTGAGCGACCCCTTTGCAGAGCAGTTGTCAGTTTCGAAGCTGTGGTTTTGAGAGCTCAGCTCGCGACATCTTTTACACGGATTGCAGTAGTTACTTCGAGACTTCGATTCGACTAGTGTGGCCGTTCATGAGCAGGGCCCCGAAAGGAGATGACGGCGAGTCAGAGCTGTTTAGGGCCTTCGCTCCTCTCGTCCCAATGAAATAAGTGTGCCTGCCTTACCTTGGTTTATGGAATTGGAACACGGCCCGATTTGGTAGGTGTCGTGAAAGGTTGACCGGTCTGTTCAGGTTACAACAGCCTACAACGAACTGTTAAATCTGGGTCTTTTAGCGTGTCCCAACTTTACAGACGATTCTTACTTTACCATTACCCTACCATTAGTTCCTTGTCATTGTCTCCTAACCTATAATGTCGTGTGTGCCACGCGACCTAATTCATCATTAAATTAACAACGAGAGTGCATGCCTTAATATTAACTTAGACCTTTGGTGAGCGAACGGAAACACAAAGAGTCGCGAGATTCCATTCATAGTTTCGAGTCCGTCCCAAAATAGTCCCGCGCCGAAGCCCATGAAGAAGTGACGCTGCAAACTAGATTAACCCGCAAACGTAGGAAATTAGTTACTAGTGGTGATAACGAGGTTAGTTGCGAGTTCAATTCCGAATTCTGGACGGCAAAGCCGTGCAGGCGTCTGCATGCAGTCTATGCATGGTAAGTAGCTCTTGTCGAATCTGCCCCAAAGGGGCATCGATGGATATCCACGTGTGATGGGAAGACGGCGCCAACGGATAGTTTTTCAGATCCGGTCCGTTCCTGATCGACAATCGCCGTATCAGCTGTTTCGTATCGGCCGCTGTCAACTTCCTGCTCCAGAAGCCAGATAGACCACCAAGAACAAGAACGAGATCCTGGTGCATGTTCATGCTTCGGCGCTTCTTGTGGCAGCAACCCCCTTCGATTGAAGTCGTGTCTGAAACGGCCTGAACCAGCTTGGACAGTCAGTCGATTGGACCTGTAGATCGACTTCGACTAAGACTACAAGCATCACGCATTGACCGGGCTCTACTGCAGCGACACATCAGACTCTGTTTCAGTCACTCCGTCTCTCGTTGTGCTTCGTGATCTCCGGATCGCACGCTATGCTTTCTTTGGAATGAGCAGCTTGGAAGTTAAGAGTTGTCCAAAGGCTGGGGGTACTTGCACACTGCTTACACATGTTGCCCAGGTCGGCCAGAAAGCCGGGAGCCACTTCCCAGGCTGGGCATTCGGTGAGTCTTCGGTGCTTCGGCGCTGTGTTCATTCCAGCACGCCTCCAGGATCCGCTTGAGGTCTAGACATTCGAGGTCCCGCAGGTACAGGACCGCACGCACATCGCTGGATTTCCCAGTTGCAGTGATTCACGTGACCAAGCGGAGAGAAAAGGAGCAGAAGCCCACTACCACGGGCATCGCGCAGCGGATGCAGCTTGGCAGCGAATGCGCAGCAACGGCATCAATCTTCACGTGGTATCGACAAAACCCAGGTGGGGAGCGTGCAGGCCGTTATCGGCATTCATCGCGCTTCGGAAATCCCCAGGAGGCTGAGGTGCCGGGAGTAAGTTAAAGTGATAGAAGCGCAATATAATGTTAACTGGTCCGGTTTGTAAGCGACTGTTTCATTGCGTGGACTGTCAATACTTCATACATCGCCAGGAGTTGGACCAATCGGTCGTTCATCTTTGTAGTTAGTCAGCGTACTCTACGAAGATGACAAACGCGGGCTATGCTCTCTCTTCCCTGTCTCTTTCGCTGTCTCGCCCGCACCTGCACTCTGCCTCTCTGTCGGTCGGTCGGTCGGTCGGTCGGTGTGTCTGTCTGTCTCTGTCTCTGTCTCTGTCTCTGTCTCTGTCTCTGTCTCTGTCTCTGTCTCTGTCTCTGTCTCTGTCTCTGTCTCTGTCTGTCTGTCTGTCGGTCGTCGTCTCTCTGTCTGTCCTCTCTCTCTCTTTCTCTCTCTCTCTCTCTCTCTCTCACTCTCTCTCTCTCACTCTCTCTCTGTCTCTCTCTCTCTCTCCCTCTCTCTCATGCACACCATGTCACACCATGCCGACCAGACATGCTCGTGCTAACAGCAAGCTATGCTTGTACTGTATCACCGCGAGTAGCTGAACCAACTACAGCGGCAGCACCAGCACCTGCGCCGCCGCCGCCTCTGCCCTCTGCCAGCAACTATTGCAACACCGCTTAAATGCTAACCCCACGAATCACCACCCGCGTGGAATCGAATCCAACAGTGGGGCGCACGCGTGTCGCGTGCCCCTCTATGCAAAGTCTCCCGGCATTCAGGGGCGCATGGAGACTTTTGACGAAGCCCTGAGCAGACTCACAGGCCTCCACCGGAGCGGCGAGCACAGGCCGAGGCAGGAAGCCACTACTGCAGCAGCGCCCTTCTTTCACAATACTCTGAGGGCTTTTTGTTGCTATTTTCAGGCCAACCAAAGGCTTTATTCCTGATGGGATTGTCGACGGCTAAGCGCAGGGGTCAGAGAGATGAGCGAGGGCGGGGGGATTGGGCTCGACGGATTGAAGCCGATCGGCTAAGGCCTGGGGCTGGAAAGTCAACCGCGAGCTTCCAAGACCAAGTCTTCGTTGTCAGTGTGCATGCATGGTCATTTGTGCGCAAACAGCTATTGAAGGTCAAAAAAGCGAGGATGAGTGAGGAGCTTTTTGCTTGTGGCTCAGTCCTGCAATGACTTTAGTGACCCAGTACAACCAAGTGCAGGTCAACGTGGAGCCCGACCAGTTGAAGAGATTTCACAAAGACTATTCCAGCAACATGAGTGAGGACTTGCCACATGGGCCACAGGTATCACGGGTGCCTGCTGTTGTGGGGCAGGAGACCGACACCGAGGTTCACCGTTGGAGCGTTCTGGACTCGAGAAAGTTGGCCAGCGACACTTCAGTCTTGCAAATACCAGGTCCGCCGAGCTGTGGATGCTTTCGAGGATGCGGTAAAAGATGGAAGGACAGTCTGGGCAGTTGCAAGGGAGGGAAAGCGGCACCCAGTTTCTGTCAGATCCAGGAGGCGGAATGTTCTCTTCGACTCTTCGGGATCCAACTCGCCGTGCTCCTAAATTTCGCAGTGCAGGCTGTCGTTCGTGCGAGGAATTCTGTGATCTTGTGGAGATGAGTCATGCAGCCGTGGCCGGAGAGACTCCGGAGAGACAGACGCAGCATTAAGACGACACGTCCAAGCCTTCCAGCTTCGCATCTGCAGCAAGTAGCTGAGATCAAGCTCAAGCCGCCTGTTTTCGTGCAGAGGTTTTAGGGAAGGAGTTGACGCATTCCGATATGATGCGTAAGGGCTCGCGCAAGTTTGCACCCGTTTTTTGCACGACTCCGCCTCCAAAGAGCTGTGAAGTAAAGGCAGTGGTTGGCTCGACGACTAGAAACTGCTCGTGATGCAGGCATGCAGTGTGCTTTGCGGTCATTTGCAAGGTCTGGGTTGATCACACGCCGACAACCTCTCACACTCAGCAGATATTACGCAATGTGGTGCACATCTCAGTCTGTATTGTGTTGTCGTAGCCATGGACGCCACAGCTATCCTAGCTTGTGAGACAACCAATCTTGTAGGCCTAAGCCGAAGTGGTTTGACAGCCACAAACACGTACTTCTTTCTGAAGCCTGGGTAAAATGATTGTGGCGACAGGCTTGCAACATGAGTTCCGGAGGCCAACGAAGTAAACCTAGAGCCGGTATGCCAATATTCGTCGATGACGATGGACTCCGATGGACCTCCCAAGTTATTGCGAAACTCGACGACCAGAGAGCACGCCACGGAGAGTCAAGCCAGACGCAGATCGGACATGAAAGCCAACTTGACATTTGCAGGCTACCACACTCAACTACTTTGGGTCGATGTACCTGTGGAGGCGCACCACGACATTGGGTTGAGCTGCACCTTTGAAAGAGCGAGACTTCAGCACAACTGCTCCGCTTGCAGATTGCCTTGCTGCGGAACCGGGATCGTGCCAAGTCACACGGGCAGCGAGGGTCCTGTTGAAGCTTTTCCCACTCTCCGTCTGCTGCAGATGAAACGACTTTTCCCAGGTGGTGCCCGGAAAATATTATCCTTGACAAAGCGAAGGTCATGCAAGCCAGCTTCGAGGATTGCGCGTATGTCCCATTTCATGTTGTGCTTTGTTTCAGTACAGTTGTGTTGCTGATGTGTCGCCCTTGCCTCTTATCCCGAAGGAGCTTCGTGCTACAGTCGACGTGGCTGAAAGGCTGCAAAACTGGGTACCCTGCTGAGATTTCGTTGGTTGAGGCGCGCCAGTCACCAGGGTGCCGGAAGTACTCAGGATCCAAACGGACACGAGTTGCGACAGGCACAAGAGGACCGAAAGCGGCGGCAGCCCATGATTTACTTGACATTGAGTCATCCGCAGGATCTGTATCTGTATCCTGCGCCCAGGCCATGTCCTTACTGGTATGAAGAAGCCATGAGCGCCCGCAGCTTGTGGTTGCACGAGGAGCCGAGCAACCGTTCGTCCTGGTGATCCCAGCTATGGTGAGGACGGACCATCCCACGGGGTCTGATCAAATAGTTTTCACTCCGAAGCCCAGACACAGAGATTCGCAGAGGCGCCTCCCGGTGCCCGTCCTCCGTCTCCAAGACCCGGCTCTCGGAGGCCGTCGGACTGCAGCTGTCTCGAAGCAGCAATTCCAAGACCTCTCAGGACCATTCGCATCGGGTCACCCTGTCTGTGTTGACTGTAGCTGCACCTTCGCTTTGAAAGCTACTGCGAGTCTGCGGGTGCCAGTCCATGGAAGCGAAATGACGAAGTGATGAAGGCCAAAAGCGCAAGGTGCAGATGTAGGGGTTCAATAATAACTATAGCTGTGAAGGACCTCAAGCAGCAATCTTTGGCCGTTTGTTGCAGGCTGAAGTGGATGGATGAGACCTACCGAGGATTTGCCAATCACACCCCATGTTGTGTCCTTCTTTTCCCAACCTGGCCAGCAAGGAGATCGTGAAAAGTACGTGCTGGAGGAGGTCTTAGCAGGGTTGGCCCTCAGCTTTTTCACAAATGTGATGATGCTTCTGACATTGTGGTGGAGTGCATGAGCATGATCGAGGAGGGGATGCAGAGAGTATAGACATGGAGAGATCAGACGATTAGGAACTGCGCGAAGGGGCACGGGCCAGTTTAACCTGGGAATAATGTCCAGACAAAACGAGAGAAAGGCGGAGTGGTGTATCCCCCAGTTGGATCTCGGCCAAACTGATTCCTGAGCAGGCCGATTAACAATTTCGGCCGGCTTGAATTACACGCACGTTGCCGAGTTGATTTAAACACTGTGTCGCAAATAGTTACCCTGCATCTTATAAGCTGAGACGTGATGGCTGCTGTGGCAAGTGGCCGTTGAACTGCTGATGAGTCGTTTTGAAACGGCTCGGAATAATTACGCCTTTAAAGATGTTGCATGATCTGCATGCGATGGCCGTCAGTTCCCCTGCATAGTGAAGCAAGGGATGCCCTTGTGTTCAGCTGAAGACACATAGCGCTTCAAGCGGGTACCTATTCATAGAATTGCAGCGAGGCGAGAAATTCTTCTCGAGCGGAACATGTTCCCGTGCCCTTTCGGATTCAGCCTGTCACGGTTGTAAGCTCAAAACTCCACCAGCTCATCACTACTGCCTCAGTTACGCTCTGCCACCTGGGATGGAACACTGGACGATTTGGGCGAGGCAACGTGCTGTTATGATGTCATTCTGAGCAGGAGATCGCGACTGGGTCAGACGAACAGGTCATTTGCATGTCATAGCCTGTCAGGAACGCCATGGAGCACGATGCGCTCTGCGTGTACATCGAGGCTGTTTCTGCTGGTTTGATCTGCACTGCGAGATGTCTCTGCTGTTGTGTCTTGTGTGCGCTCATGTGACCTGCTGCAGAGGGCTGGCTGAATGCCAGACAACCACATAACGTCACAGCACGTGCCCCAGTCCCTGAGCGATCCGTGTCCGATTCTGACAGAGACAGCGTGGAACCAACCGGGCTGTCTAAGGCTTGGAACTACGACGACAATCGACAGATGCGGACTATCGACGTCCGGCTCACATGCATTGTGCATCCTTGCAGTCCGCACCTTGGGACACGGGTCCATATCCCAGACAACTGAAGGTGTGGCACGTGCACGTCTACTTCCAGGGAGCAGGCGCGCTGCCGGCGGTTTGACGTACAGCGAAAGCAGAGTCTACCTACTGGCAGATGGAGAGCTGCCGAAGTTCTGCACTGCGACGCAGGGAGGCAAGTGGATCTCTTTCTGCCAGCGAGAGAACGCACGTTCTTGGCCTGCGCGGCTTTCTGTTTTCTGGTGCATTAGGCGACGGCATCAAGGTCAATGCCTTGTGCACGATTCTGTGCCCAGAGGTCAGTGCACATAACAAGTTCGGATTTGTTCTTGTTGACCAGAGAAACAGGCTTCTGTAGTTGCGAATAGCTCACCTCAACCAATAGCTGCTCCAGTCCGACTCCACCGCTATGGTGGGCTCGGGCACGTGCTCCTGTGACCTGGCCCCATGTCGTAGAAGCACAACAGTCACACACTTCTGTTCAGTTAGCTCAGCTAGGCCAACGATGTCCCATCCGCAACCGTAGCTACTTTGCGCTCTGCAAATGTTTTGGACACAGAACTTCCCATGTCACGATGTGCAGGGGTGCACACACACGCACAGAGGCAGCCGTGGTTTGAACCCCACAAGACAGAAAATTGACATCATCTCGTATCACCTGAACTGCCGGCTTGTGCAGGCGAGCGGTCGACAAACAAGACCTATGCAAGATCACCATGCAGCGTGTAGAATCTAGAAGAATCTAGAATCTAGGCCGAAGGCCCGTTGTGCTGATGCATGTGAAGTGCTGGGTATAAAGCGTCGTGATGTCACCGCAAGTACGTTTAGCGCTGAACTTGACTTGGCATTTGTTGCTGTGGCGTACCCTGCGAAGGGCTTCACAGCCACTCAGCCCAAACCTGTTGCGCTTTTCACATGACTGATTCTCAGTGCTGACAAGTGGCTGCGCTGCGTCGATAAACCACCTTCATGTTGCTCACAACAGTGGCGCCGTGCTGGATCATACCTGTGCTTCTGTGCATTCATCCGGCTTTTTGCCCTCATGCAGCTGAGTTCGACTGGCTCGATACAAGCTTTGCAGGGTATCTTACATGACTGCCAGGGAAGCTCACTCAGCCCGACTTCGCATGTGTACCCGCAGAAAAGCAAAACAACACCCTGTTTTGTTTATTCTTGTTCGTGGGCTGGCAATGGCACCCTTGCGCAATGACGTGTCTCTGAGTCTTAGCGCGAATTTAGGCGTCAGGTGTGGTCTCTTTCTGGCTTTGCTGAGAGGGCGAAGTTCTGAGGATTGACATCGCAGCCCATTTTGCACCGGATCTGATTGGCAGAAGCTTGTCGAAGCTGTGGACTGCTCGTCGGCTGCTTAGAGAAAGTTCAAGGGGAGCTCAGAAGTCATGCCCTGTTCAGGCAGCGGAAATGTCAGGTACCTTTATAACTCTCTATAAGATGTGCGCAACAAATTGCGGATTCCAAAAAGCCGGTCCTGCTATTGAGCTGACGGTTCTCAGCCGTCGTACAAATCGCACTTGTAGTGATGTACAGTACCAGCACTCCGAATGGCAATATTCTCGGTGGCCGCGTCTTGTATGAAACGGCGGGAAGGTCCGGTTTCGCAAGCGTACAGATTGACCATCCGAAGCTCCCGCGCGCATTCGAGACTTTTAGAACCTGCACTTGAAGTTTCTGGTGGCCTCAGGAAGTATTGGTTAGATTTTAGAAGCCTGCTTGTGAACGAGACGGGCTGAGCACATGAGACCCAATCCTGCGTGGATGCACCATGCCAATCCACGCCCTGAACATATATTGTTTCGGAGCCGACACATACACCACATCACTGTTCCGCCCCTGCACTTAGGCGGGTGTGAGCTGGAGACGGCGTTGACTGATGCCGGCTGCATGTACACATGTCGGGATCTTGGCTAGCGATCGATGCTGTTACTCCAAGCACTCAGGCATAGCTGCAAGTCTTCCATGAAGTATTCAGCAAAGGTCCGTTAACTTCCAGTCCAATCACGAGCCCGCTCTTGGTGAGCGATGGATGCATTTACGAGGACCAGATTCCGGGATGGCTTCAGGCTTCCGGCCCACCTCAACAAAGCAGCATTGTTGGGGTGCTGTCTTGATCTGTCTTGTAGGAGGAAGCTGCTCTGCATTGGTTTCGGACACGCGAGAAGTCCGACAAGTCCGTAGCTTCCAAACCGAAGCAGGTTCGAAGCTATTGTGACCGCAAAGGGCCGGCAAGATCCCGTTTGCTATGCAGGCTTTGCGGCTGGGGCCTTTGGCAGAAGCAGTGGAGGCCGTGGCTTGCAAACTCTTTTTTGCCTGCCGCCCATCTGCACGCATTCACGAAAGGCCTTCCTCCAGCACTGCAACGCTGCCGGGTACCGGACATCGGAGCAGCTGGAACAGGCGTTTGTAGGGCAACGACGGCGCGTAGATTCCAACCCTAGCTTGCGTCTTCCAGGCAATGGGAGAGGCGGAGATGCCAGGCCACACCGTGACTTGCAAAAGGGGTCAAAAAGGCAGATCTTCTGAACAGGCACTCCATGGCTGCGTCGAGTTGCAATCCTGGAGGCAGATTTCACCAACAGATGATTTGGTTTTCTGCCGTCATGTTTCGACTTGATTTCCAATCTCTGCATTTAAGAAAGTATTCCGATCCTCGTTCGCTCCTGAAACGTGGCATGCAAAGACCAGATGTGTCAAATGGCTGGGCAGCCTAGATGATTCTGAGATGCACATCTGTTTTTTCGTGATCGACCGTTTGCGAAGTCTCATCGGAGAGCCATCGCTGGCCCCTGCTTCGAAGAACGCTGCATTTCTCTCTGGGCCCAGAAAGCAGAAGTGTCAATTCGACCGTTTGCGCTGCGACTTGGGGTCAGGCATCGCTGGCAGAAGCCAGGACAGAGGCTGAGGCGCTTCGGCATCATTCTGCAGAAGCCCAGGCAGAGAGTGGTTGAATTGAGGGCACTTGAAAATTAACGACAGCAGCTGCTTTGTCGGAGGCCTTGTTAGAAAGCCTTCGGCGGCAGGCCGCGGAGAAGCAGGCCGCGCAAGGCGGTGTGCATACACTCCTGTACCCCTTTTTGCAGTCCGTTTGAGGAGCTTGCTGCCCGCCGCCTGCAGCGTGCGGTGCGATCCAGACTCGCGTGCCTGGGCCGTGCTACTGGATTAGTCGTTTGGTCATCTCGTCCTCCGGAACTCGAAAATTGGAGAGGTGAACTAGAAGAAAAGACGTCTGACCGCTGAGGCGCGAGCGGCAACGTGCCGCAGCAGCCCTTTGCTTGCAGCGATGGTGGCGGAATTTCAGGAGTCCAGTGCATTGGATGCTTGAGCACTTGTGTCGCCTCGGCCAGTGATTTGTCAGCTTTTCATTGGTCCACTTGCCGGCGAGGAAGAGCGATGTCAAGAAGCCGAAGAAAAGAAGGGGCAAAGCGCAGAAGAAGGGTGGCCGTGCAGAAATGATCACCGTCGCACAGCGCTTCCACAGTGCGGAAAGCTGAGATTCGCACACGGCTCTGTCAGGATCAGCTAAGCCAGCGAAACCTTCAGCAGAAGAGCTTCTGGGCCCAACTCTGTCTGGCAGATGCAGGGCGAGCAATGCATGTCATGTCAATGCGTAGCGAGTCAGTATCCGCCAAAACGCAATTCATGGTCGCAGTCGCACTTCCGCAACCAACCAAGGCTGCCAGCGCAATTGCCTGCAAGTGCGACGCCGACGCCGCCAGAATACACACAGCTTCTCAATAAGCAGCAGACGCCTCAACATCCTGCTTTCGTGTGCTGTTTTTGCATCTCAGACTGCCGCATACTGCACCCCTTGTGGCAGTGGAGTGGAAGTTGACAGGCACCAGCAGTATGCTAGAATCGAGGAGAAGGCCAGATAAACCGTTCTGTCCGAGCAGACATGGCGCTCGGGATGCGATCGGATCCATGACCAGGATAAACGTGCGGTTTTGGATTTTTTCCTCGATCAGCTGATGTACCTTGTCAGCAAGTCTGCAGAGGGCTTGGAGGCCGGTGTAAGCTGACCGGAAAACGTGCTTTGCGTGGTTGAGGTACGACAGCACAGATTTTCGAATCCTGATAGTCACGAGCTCGGACGAGCAGCATGGCTGCAAGGGGATTTGGCGCACGACTGAATTTATGCGGATGCACAATGATGTTGTAGCACAGATGTGCAACACATATCCTCTCAAGATGTGCGATGACATCATTCACCCGACAAGGCGTGCTCTTGGTTTGCACAAAGTCTTGCAGATGTCGAAAGCCGTTCAGTACCAGTTGGTCACAATGCAGCAGGATGAGGCAGCTGGTGGGTCGCTGTGTTCAATGCATCAGAAGTTGCCAGCTCCATCGTGTTTCTGGTTTGGAAGAGACCGTGATTTGGTCCGGGGCACGAGCCTGTTCCTGACTCACCCGAGTTGCGCGCAGCAGCTTCTTTAAACTCGTGCTCAGCCTAGTGAACAGTGCAGGGGAAGCATTGAAGCGTTGTGGTTGAGCGTTGGCATGGCTCTAATATGCGTAGACTACCCGCGGCTAAGACAAAGCAGGTTTCATTGCTTAGGAGCGTGCCGCGGGGCCGGAGCGTCGGACCCTGCCTTGACTCCTGCTCGTGTCAATGTGCTCTTGAAGCCTTTGCACTCGCGCCTGGCGTTACACCCCGGCCTCCCAAACTGCTTGACAGGCTGCCGTGCTGGATTGCTCGTAAATCAGTGCAATCGTTTTCTCAACACTTCCCTCGAAGCTGTGTGGACTCTAGGTTTAGTTATGAGACCAACCGTTCTTTTCTGCAGTCTACAGGAATCCAAGCGATTCAAGGACCCGCGTGATAGATTCTGCCCTGTGGCAGTGCGAGACGGATCATCGGTCCGTCATCTGTTTACCGGTTTGGCTTGAGAAAGGAGCTCCGCGAATGCGCTGGTATCATCTCCGAGTCACAGCTTCGGCAGAATGAGGATGCATCAGCTGCCAACATGAGCCCTGAGCCGCACAGCAGTCACAATTACTTCTCCTGCAACAGTTGCTGGCCCGCCAAACTGTCTGACAGCATGTAAACTGTCTCAGGATGGTGAACTTCGACATGCCTCAGACTCTGGCAGCTTGCATGATGACGAGTGTTTACAGTAAGGGCAACGACGGTCTGACTGCGTCCGTACCTATCGTTCTGATGATCAGCCAAGGATGACTACATGGACCGTATAAGGCGCGTAGATCCAGCTGTCAAGGCCTGGCGCTCGACTTGCATTGAAAAGCCTCGCATTGCCGACTGCCGCTACCCATACGAACCCGGACAGCATGGTTTGCCGAATCGCTGAAGATCAGGCGTGCCATGAAACCCACCAAGTTTATAAACCACAGCTCGGGTAACACAAGCCGTTAAGCCCCCAGACCGGTGGGGCCCAGAGCCACGAAATTATTGAATTATTCCCTATGATAGGTTACGTGCGCCACTAAACCACTAAACCTCCAAGCCATTCGTTTCCCCCCTATGATTGGTTTGGCCCCAAGCATCCAAGATGTCAAACTAGTGCTGTTCATGGTTAAATGGCTTGTTGGTTTAGTTTAGCGTGTTACTGGCTTAATGGTCAGGAACAGGGGAAGTGAATGGCCCGTCCCAGAGATCCGCAAAGCGGCGGGGTTTGATGCCCGGCGGGCCTGGACTCGCCCCTGCAGCTTTGGTGTGAACTGAGAGGGCGAGGACACTGCCTGTCGCTTGCTCGAAACCGGAGGTCATGAGCCTGCCCACCTCACCCGAAGAGATGGGGGTGATTCGGCAGGCCGTTCGGTTTGGCCACTAAGCTTTGCACACACAGCTTGCCATGCATCCAAATCATGATGTGAAGGTGGAAGAACACTTTGGAATTGTTTTCAGAAATATGGAGGCTTGGCGGGTGTCTGGACAACTTTCTTGATGCAGCCTGTTGGGGCGGAAAGCTGGCACCAACCTCACTGCGTAAACAGGGTGTCGCCCGATTCAAGATCCTCCAGAATCGGAAGGCGCTGAGGCCGGGCGCTTTGTCTGTCAGCGAAGCCACCCTTACATAGCCACGGGCGGAGACCCCGCCCCGCATCCCGCTATGCAGTATTGTACGCCACATCCGAGATCTTTCTGTCAACAGGAATAGCCTATTCAGG